TGTTCACTGCTTACTGCCTACTGTTGGTATGTTCACTGCTTACTGCCTACTGTTGGTATGTTCACTGCTTACTGCCTACTGTTGGTATGTTCACTGCTTACTGCCTACTGTTGGTATGTTCACTGCTGACTGCCTACTGTTGGTATGTTCACTGCTGACTGCCTACTGTTGATATGTTCACTGCTTACTGCCTACTGTTGGTATGTTCACTGCTTACTGCCTACTGTTGGTATGTTCACTGCTTACTGCCTAATGTTGTTATGTTCACTGCTTACTGCCTACTGTTAGTATGTTCACTGCTAACTGCCTACTGTTGGTATGTTCACTGCTAACTGCCTACTGTTGATATGTTCACTGCTTACTGCCTACTGTTGGTATGTTCACTGCTAACTGCCTACAGTTTATTTTATCATAAATGTTCACTGCTTACTGTCTACTGTTGATATGTTCACTGCTTACGGCCTACTGTTGATATGTTCACTGCTTACTGCCTACTGTTGGTATGTTCACTGCTTACTGCCTACTGTTGGTATGTTCACTGCTTAACTGCCTACTGTTGGTATGTTCACTGCTTACTGCCTACTGTTGGTATGTTCACTGCTTACTGTTGGTATGTTCACTGCTTACTGCCTACTGTTGTTATGTTCACTGCTTACTGCTTTATGTTTGTATATTCACTGTTTATTGCCTGTTCCACAGACAATAGGCGTTTGTTGTTTGTATCCTAGGGTCTTTTGAGATACCGGTGAGCAACATCCCGAATCAACCAGATCTTTTTCTAACAAGCCATTATCGGCTGTATTAGGAAAAGTGTCCTTACACGATTGTTTTTGTGTCGTACCAATGACTGTATATCTATCTAGTGACAACGATAGTACAGCCTTGTTCCATCCTTAGTGTATACACAAACGTGTGCCGAGCAGGGGCGTACATCTGTAACATGGGCAGATATAGATTCTCTATGGCTATCTGTTTTCGAATTATTAATTGCAGAACATGTCGGAGGTGAGTGGCACTTGCATAATATAATATTGTCGTCACATTAATGTACATCTAAAATAACCTGCATTCTACCCTTGTAACAGAAAAAATGATCTTAAGAGACATTCTGTTGATATGTAGTTCCACATATAGTTTAGTTCCTGAAGTAAGAAACACTCTAAGACATAAGTCTCACCGTCTATTGTATCACATTGGTATTTTGAGTTGAGGGGATAGCAATTCCTTGACGTTGTACTTGTGAAATATATTCGGTTCTTTTTGTTTTGTTTTGGTTGATTTCGTCATTATATGAACAAGCTTAAGCATGTGAAATTGTCACAGAAAACATTTGTAAAAGTAATGGCTCAAGATGTAGTATTATCCCTACTGAAAAGACTGAAAATTGTACCTTTTTTTCTTAGCAGAAACCTTGACCAATGATCACCAAAATAAGTTTACGAAAGTATCGTGTTAATGCAAACTGAACACTTTGATGGGTTTATGAGCAATCTCCAATTACCATAAAAATGGTACGAATTTGAGAAAGATGTAATCATCATAAGGTGAGAATATTACCATTTTATTTCCATGTTACTGAAGCTGACGAAGCATTCGTACTGTACTATTAGTTTTAGAAAAGTCTAGTTGACAACCGATGACGAAGACCTGAAGTTTTTTCAAGATACCATTTAATATCCAATGAAGTGTTGGCGATTAGGTGATGTGCAAAAGGCATCTTGTACACAAGAATTTTACTACGAATTGCCAATACGCACGCACGCATGCATGACACGCAGCACGCACTCACGCATGGACAGACAGTTAAAATGACGTCGATCAGCATTTAATACGCCGTCCCTCTGACGATTATAATATAACATTAGATTGTCATTGAATACATGGTGTCCCTATGACGATATTAGTTTAACATTTGTAGATGTGCGTTACTTTAAATTCTGTTTTTTGGTAAAGATATTAGGGATTCTACATTTGGCTATAATCAAACATTTCTTTGTCCGACTTCAAAAGCCAAGTAATAACATTGGTGACGGTATGATGAGTTTTGTATTATTCTCGATCACGGCCGCTAGACATTAGTTGATTAGATGAACGACATAAGATAGATCTCCACACGGTACATGTCCTTTAGCTGTGTTTAATGTGAATAACATTAACTCGACAGAGACAGGATCTCTAAACAACTTCTTGCATAAGGTAACTCCTCACCACAAATATACTTAGTTATAAATACATATACTCTTAAACTGGAAACAATTTTGCTTAGTTAAGCATAAAAGTTTTCATGTCAGAACTTTATAACCTCTACAATAATTTTTTGCTACTTCAGAAAATTTACGAAATAACGTCAAAAGAAATGAATAAGAGACAACGGTGGGATGATAGACAGAAAAATCAGAGGAGAAATAACTAAGAGACAACGGTGGGATAATAGACAGAAAAATCAGGGGAGAAATAACTAAGAGACAACGGTGGGATAATAGACAGAAAAATCAGGGGAGAAATAACTAAGAGACAACGGTGGGATAATAGACAGAAAAATCAGGGGAGAAATAACTAAGAGACAACGGTGGGATAATAGACAGAAAAATCAGGGGAGAAATAACTAAGAGACAAGAGAAAATCAGGGGAGAAATAACTAAGAGACAACGGTGGGATAATAGACAGAAAAATCAGGGGAGAAATAACTAAGAGACAACGGTGGGATAATAGACAGAAAAATCAGGGGAGAAATAACTAAGAGACAACGGTGGGATAATAGACAGAAAAATCAGGGGAGAAATAACTAAGAGACAACGGTGGGATAATAGACAGAAAAATCAGGGGAGAAATAACTAAGAGACAACGGTGGGATAATAGACAGAAAAATCAGGGGAGAAATAACTAAGAGACAACGTTGGGATAATAGACAGAAAAATAAGGGGAGAAATAACTAAGAGACAACGGTGGAATAATAGACAGAAAAATCAGGGGAGAAATAACTAAGAGACAACGGTGGAATAATAGACAGAAAAATCAGGGGAGAAATAACTAAGAGACAACGGTGGGATAATAGACAGAAAAATCAGAGGAGAAATAACTAAGAGACAACGGTGGGATAATAGACAGAAAAATCAGAGGAGAAAATGGTGGGGGAATTGAAAGAATAACGTCATGCGAAATTGTTATGAGACAACAGTGGTGGAAATCTACAGACAAAACAAAACAAACAAACAAAATAAATAAAAACATTTTAATAAAAAAGGTCATGAGAAACAACTTAGAGAAAACTGTGGAAAGTTGACAAAAAACTTCATGAGTGACATTTTGGAGTAAAAGGATGGGGAAATTGACAGATTAACGCCATGGGGAATAAATTAGAGACAACGGTTTTTGAATTGACAGAATAACGCCATGACAAACATCTACGAGAAAACGATGTAGAAATTCAAAGAATAACGTCCTGAGAAACGAATACGTGACAGACTGACATCACGAGAAACAACAAAAGGAAAATGAAGACAAATTGACAGAATAATTTCAGTAGAGACAACTCAGAGAAAATGTTGCGGGTAATTAAAAGATAAATATCACGAGAAACAATTTAGAGAAAACTATTGGGAATTTAAAGGAATAATGCCACGAGAAACAACTACGAAACAATGATGACGAAATTCAAAGAATTACGCCCAGAGAAACAACCACGTGACAAGGGTAAGGGAAATTGACAGAATAAAATGAAATAGAATAACAAAAGGTGACGAGAAACAACGAAGATTCAACGTCGGGGGAAATTTACAAAAAACAAAGGTCATGAGAAACAACTGGGAAAACAACGGGGGAAATTTACATAACACCGACATCAGTAACATCTAATGGAAAATACTGGGGAATCTGAGAGAACAACGCCATGAGAAACAACTACGAAACAATGATTGAGAAATACAAAAAAATGCACCAAGAGAAACGACTACCTGCCCACGGTAGGGAAAATTGACAGAATAAGGACTTAAGAAACAAAGACGAGAAAACGGTGCTGCAAATTGCCGAAATAACGTCATGAGAAAAAACAAAAGGAATAGGTGGACATTCGACAAAAAGGGTCATGAGAAACAACTGAGGGAAAACGACTGGGGGTGGGGGTGGGGGAGGTGGAGGGAAATTGACAGAATACCGTCATCAGAAACAACTACGAGACAACCGTGAGGGAATGGAAAGATAGCCCCATGAGAAACAACTATTAGACAACAGTCGGATAAAATGACATTAAAAGGTAATGAGAAAGAACTCACTGAAAACAGTCGGAAATTCAAAGAATAGTGTTATGAGAAAAAAAAACAACGACACAACAGTGCAGGATATTGACAGCATAACGTCCTGAGAAATAACTACTAGACAACTGTAGGAAATTCACAGAATACCGACATCTGTAACATCTAAAGGAAAATACTGGGGAAAGTGACAGAATAATGTAGTGGGAAACACCAAAGGGAAATTCGACAAAAATAGGTCATGAGATACTACAAAAAAAAGATCATGAGAAACGAATGAGAGAAAACTACGGGGCAAATTGACAGAATACCGACATCAGAAACAGCTACCAGACAACGGTTGTGAAAAACCATGGTAATGACAGACTTGTGAACAAGAGCATTGACCCGGAGGTTTCCTTCCACATTAAGGCCCGTCGCGCGCTTCCATCCGAGCCAACAAGAGTGATCAATATAAGTTGGAAAAACTTCGTAATTGTTGTAAAATAAATAAGTTTATATACCAACCACAGGCCTTCCATGACGGGAGTCATCCCCATGGATCTTGCTACCACGGTTAACTTCCGCCAACCACCTTTCCAGTTTAGCATATGAAGGGGAATCCTTGCCTAGCGATGCTACAATATCAGTTTGGATAGCCTTTGATTTAAATATTGAATCACTGCTGTATCAGTGATTTTACCCATTTTGCAATAGTCACTTGCCTTGTTTACTTTAGATTTTTTTATTGATTGTTGTTACATATTTCAGGTTATTGTTGCTGGGAATATGTCTGTTGGTGGCGATTCAGAGCATCAGACACTTCACCGTGATTACCGTCGGTAAATTAAGAACGGATAAGACGTTTTACAGAAGGGAAGACTTCCCTAGTCCGATCCAATTCAAACATGGTGAAACGGGCAAGTCTGTACATCATATAGTTTTCTTAAAGGTACCAAAGGCCGCTAGTACAACGATAGCCAATATATTTCTACGTTATGGAGATGAAAAGAACCTCATTTTCGCGGTACCAAGAAACCACAAGCCAGGTGGTTATTCATTTACTTCACAGTACTTCCTGCCACCACCCAAAAATAGAAGTTATGATATTGCTTGTGCGCATGCCCGATACAACAGAACACATTATAGCAAAGTGTTCCCAAACGATACTGTGTACATAGCCATAATGAGAGAGCCTTTCCAGCATTTTAAATCCTATGTCAGATTCTTTCGTCCTAAAAGGATACTACATATACCTGGAAAAAATCCGGTTTTGAATTTTTTGTCTAGTAATGAAAAAACCTGGAACTCATCTGCTCGAGCTGAACCTATCTGCAATTCAATGGCACGGTATCTTGGTTTTCCCAGAAGATTATTTTTTCAGAAATGGAACCAAAGTATTGCAGAGGAATTTATACATAAACTGAAAATGGAGATTGACCTGGTGTTAATTTTAGAGTTTCTTGATGAATCCCTTGTGTTAATGCGGCGTATGCTTAACTGGGACCTCAGGCATGTATTACACGGAAGACTTCATGTTACAAAAAGTCAGGATCTTCGCTTGAAGTTTGGAACGGATGAAGCAAACCTTCATAAAAAGTGTGCTCATCTAGATTATCAACTGTACGGATTATTCTTTCGCAAATTAAAAGAAACATTGAAAACACAACCACCTGATTTTTTTGAAGAGGTAGCATACTTCAGAAAAGTCAGGGTAAAGTATAATAATTTCTGCTCTTCTGCAATGTCCGAGACCGACCTCCACTCTACAACTGCATTTGAAGGAAGTGTGTGGAATAAACCATTTGTTATTTCAAGGGAACATTGTAAAAAACTTATCATTCAAGATGTAGACTTTTTAGATTATTTGCTTGAAAAACAAAATGTGTCAGAGGATGTGTTTGTGAAATAATAACAATTTTCTCTTTGTTGGTTCTCTGTCCTTTAATTACATCTGATGGTGTAGAGACCAGTGCTTGGCGCAGATCCGTTAGCAATGGTATTTCAATATGACTGTGCTAATATTTTTCTTAAATCACTGCAATTTCCAGTCACGTCTGCCCATATATGAGTACCGAGGAACCTAAATTTAGACTAAAAAACCAGGCGCGAAACTGATGGAGCAAACTAAACAAAACATATATACAACGTTATATGATTGAAAAAAAATGGACATCACTAACTAAGACGAGGAACAGCACACTTCAACTATAAGCCTAAAATCACGACATCAGACAAATTACAAATTAAAAATCACGGATATGAAATCAAAAAGATATTAGCAATATCAAATCTGCTACACTCTCACTTGCATTCTGAAATGTTGTCTACGACAAATATTGTATATGAAAGTTTGATACACCACAGGCAGTTGATTCAGCATCTGATGAATCCACTCCTGATTGTTCTTTGCTTTGATGTGACCCCTCCACATCTACCCCCATCTCCTCCGAGAAGGCTTCCCCTCTTACTTCCGACTCAATGACCTCTTTGTCCCTATGGACGATCGTGGCATTAGGAATACCTCCTCTCGATCTCTTGTTGGCAACCACCATTACATCGTCATCAAACGTCAATGAGAAAGCAGAGCTGCTATACTCAACTTCGAAGGGGCTGGTCCATCTCGTTTGCCGAGACAGTTTTAGTTTTGCAGATGATGTTGGAGGTGTTATCGGTCCTGGTAGGAAACTGATGAGAAGTGACAAATTGCTGTTACTTCGTTTTGCCTATCCAACCCTCCATCTTAATATCGTATACCCCGGTATTTCTTTGTGTTTTTGTGCTAGGACAATGTAGGGGCATTCCTTGTATTTGTCAGCAATCTCATGCTTTCCTTTTTAATGCCATCGCCTATAAATCCCTTATGGAGAGAGTGGTCCTCGTACTTCGGTATCGTATTGAGTTTTCTGTCTCATCATAGTGGAATCTGAAGTGGATGTTACACAAGCGTAAGCATTTGCAACGCCTAATGGGAGTGGCACAACATATTCGGTCAACGTTCCTGTATGCTTGGTCGCTGGAACTGCAAACGTTAGGTCTACTTGAAGACTTGGACTCCTTCCAAACATACACCATGCCCAAACATACACTACGCAGTATCTAGCACACAACTGTGTGATAGGATCGGTTTGATAAAAATGGTTTATAGATTTAAAATTAAGCACAGACGTGTTTCAAATTGATCGGTGATTTTCAAAGTAGTTTTTAATTCGACAATGTTTGAAATAACACTGGACAGTGTATTAATAGGTTTTTTACCAGAGAGTGGCGAATGATACGCCCAGTGGTACAAAACTAACTGTATACAGCTGTATAAGTGACAGGTCAGTAACCTCACCGACTGGCCTCTATACAGTTGCATATGTGACAGGTCAGTAACCTCACCGACTGGCCTCTCGTGTAATATATTCAACACAAGATTTACCTGTGTGTATATCTATTATTTAAAAAGGTTTTTAAAAATATGAGAGTAGTACAAAAGTAATGAAAATTGAATTTCCTTTCTGACGTTATGGAAATTTAGATGATTCACTGCAGAGATAAAAAGAGATGTCCATTTAATGCTAACTTACATAATACATCTTTAATGAGAGTATGTACACGTGTGGCATTTCATAAACTAAACACTTTTTGAAAGTTCAGATTGTATATAATTATTTATTAAGTGTTTGATAGATTTATCGATAGTTTGACAGATGTGTCAAACCTATAGACTTATTACTTAAATAGGAAATATACTTAGTTGTATACTTATATATTGAGAAAAGAATAAACCCTATTCCATCTAGAAATCTAGACGTCATTTCTAAATTTATGTCAACCACGATAGAATCGCACAATTGTGCGATAGTACCGCATGATGTGCGTACAGACGTACGATAGCCGATTTTGTCAAGGTTTGCTATTGTGCGGATATCGTGAATACATCGTCAATCATCGTCCAGACATCATGCGCACACCACCTATCGTGTAACGTAATACGACTCCACAACTGTAACATGAACAATAGAATGAATACATTGTAAATTTACCACTAAATACTTTATTGCTTTTGGTGGTTCAACATCTTGAATAACATGGTTGTCATGGTACGAAATGACTTATCCTGCCAGTACCCGAGTGGTGACCAATTTACCATTCCGCATTTACTCTCTTCAAAGGATTTCTTTCTTCATTCACAGCTTAGGAAAATTATGCTTAACACAGAATGTCCTAAAGTGTTGGGTAAATCCCGTTGTTTGGGCTATTTCCAGCCTTTTTGTGAAGTGTATGCATGGAAAGCACAGGAATTTGTCCCTGGGTATTCATCAGGTTCACTGTTCCAATGTCATGCGAGTGAATGTGTGGCCACGGACAAGGAAATGGTGTTGATGACTGAAGAACATTGAATACCATTTTTAATTGTCTTGATCATGCCATTAGTGATGACGCTGTGATTTCGCTTGGTCCCTTGGACGATGTATGATATTAAAATCCTCCCTGTTACGCTTAGTAAAATAAGCAGGAGAATACAGACTGACATCTTGACAACCCCATCATGAAGTCCCATTAAACATCAGTCTTGTATGGACATATCTTTCATATGGCAATGCATATCCATTAGCACACTACGTCTCTTACATAGTGTTGAAAAGTGAAGTCTCAGATGACTCAAATACAGTATAAAGAAACTGTCAAAACTCTCAATCTAGTTTCAATCAATGTCCTCACTGTCTCGCCTCCTATTTCAATCCTAATCTCAGAGGGAATACCCACAAAGTCAGCTGCTTTCCTCCTGCCGGACTCATGTGAGCTGTTTGTCTCATCAAGACAAGGTGTTTCCCTTGCATTCCTGATCCGTGCTAGTTAGAATGTTTCCGTTGATGATCGTTCAATACTTCAGACCCCCGACTAAGGTGACCTACTCTTCCACAGCGATAAGTGGTTCTGTCCGTTCCTCTACTTGTCTTGTGCTGTATTACTGTCGACATCCAAGATGGCTGCCTGTGGGCCGACTTGATTTCAAATCAGTCCAAAAAAAGTCCAATGCACAACTAGGGACCAAGGGAAACCAATACCTATGAAATATCAGAAGTATCCATTCAGTACTATCTCAGAAATAGGAGTAACAAGATTTTACTCTCAAAATACAAGATGGCTGCCTGTCAGCCATCTTGATTTCAGATCAGTCCAAAAAGGTACAATGCACAACTAGGGACCAAGGGGAAACTGCATATGAAATTTGAGAAAGATCCATCCAGTACTTTCCCAGAAATAGTGGCAACAAACTTTAACTTTCAAACTCCAAAATGGCCGCCTGTCAGCCATCTTGAATTCAAATCAGTTCAAAAAAGGTACAATGCACAACTAGGGACCAAGGGGAACCTGCATATGAAATTTGAGAAAGATCCATCCAGTACTTTCCCAGAAATAGCGGTAACAAACTTTTACTTTCAAAATCCAAGATGGCTGCCTGTCGGCCATCTTGAATTCAAATCAGTCCAAAAAAGGTACAATGCACAACTAGGGACCAAGGGAAACCAATACCTATGAAATATCAGAAGTATCCATCCAGTACTTCCTCAGAAATAGCAGTAACAAGATTTTACTCTGAAACTCCAAGATGGCCGCCTGTCAGCCAACAAACTTTTACTTCCAAAATCCAAGATGGCTGCCTGTCGGCCATCTTGAATTCAAATCAGTCCATAAAAGGTACAATGCACAACTAGGGACCAAGGGAAACCAATACCTATGAAATATCAGAAGTATCCATCCAGTACTTCCTTAGAAATAGCAGTAACAAGATGTTACTCTGAAACTCCAAGATGGCCGCCTGTCAGCCATCTTGAATTCTAATCAGTCCAAAAAAGGTACAATGCACAACTAGGGACCAAGGGGAACCTGCATATGAAATTTGAGAAAGATCCATCCAGTACTTTCCCAGAAATAGCGGTAACAAACTTTTACTTCCAAAATCCAAGATGGCTGCCTGTCAGCCATCTTGATTTCAGATCAGTCCAAAAAGGTACAATGCACAACTAGGGACCAAGGGAAACCAATACCTATGAAATATCAGAAGTATCCATCCAGTACTTCCTCAGAAATAGCAGTAACAAGATTTTACTCTGAAACTCCAAGATGGCCGCCTGTCAGCCAACAAACTTTTACTTCCAAAATCCAAGATGGCTGCCTGTCGGCCATCTTGAATTCAAATCCGTCCAAAAAAGATACAACGCACAACTAGGGACCAAGGGAAACCAATACCTATGAAATATCAGAATATGAAACTTCCTTAGAAATAGCAGTAACAAGATGTTACTCTGAAACTCCAAGATGGCCGCCTGTCAGCCATCTTGAATTCTAATCAGTCCAAAAAAGGTACAATGCACAACTAGGGACCAAGGGGAACCTGCATATGAAATTTGAGAAAGATCCATCCAGTACTTTCCCAGAAATAGCGGTAACAAACTTTTACTTCCAAAATCCAAGATGGCTGCCAGTCGGCCATCTTGAATTCAAATCAGTCCAAAAAAGGTACAATGCACAACTAGGGACCAAGGGAAACCAATACCTATGAAATATCAGAAGTATCCATCCAGTACTTCCTCAGAAATAGCAGTAACAAGATTTTACTCTCAAAATACAAGATGGCTGCCTGTCAGCCATCTTGATTTCAGATCAGTCTAAAAAGGTACAATGCACAACTAGGGACCAAGGGGAACCTGCATATGAAATTTGAGAAAGATCCATCCAGTACTTTCCCAGAAATAGCGGTAACAAACTTTTACTTCCAAAATCCAAGATGGCTGCCTGTCGGCCATCTTGAATTCAAATCAGTCCAAAAAAGGTACAATGCACAACTAGGGACCATGGGAAAACTGCACATGAAATTTGAGAAAGATCCATCCAGTACTTTCCCAAAAATAGCGGTAACAAGAATTGTTTATGGACGGACGGACGGACGGACCACAGACCACGGACGCAGGGCGATTTGAATACCCCACCATCTGATGATGGTGGGCTAAAAACTTACTTTAATTGTATATCTTCTAACTTTTAACCTTGAAAAAGTAGTTTTCAAAGGCTTTTCAAAGGTACTTGAACATGTGTTTTCCTGCCTTATATTATAGTCACAGGTAATAAGGACCACAAGTTCATATGGTTTGGAACACTAATTTAAAACATGTCATATTGTTTTTTTTCTGGGTTATGTGTTTTAGTTTCTATAATATTTTATGGCACTCCTCTTGAAGTTTTGATTATTGCTTGCATAAAATAAAAAAAAATTGTTTCATTCATATTTCTGAAAATCTCATATGAAATAACATTTAAGATCTTGTATATACAAGTAGGTTTTGACTATTTCATTTTTAGGATGTGTGATATATCATTATCTATTCACCATTACTTGTATCTTTAAAATTACTGAAGTTACAAAGTTTCAATAAAATATAAACCATACTTAATACATTTATGTGTTCTGTCTTTATAATCAGATTAAAGTCAATATTGAAGATCAGCAAACAATTTTGACAGCTGATTGCTGAATAACAGCTAAATGTAATGCACTTCATAAGTAGCATCACTGAGATCACTGTAAGTTTGATGGTTTTAATGAAAATATATTTTGTGCTATTAACTTTTTGTAGTCTTACTATCTGCAAGAATTAAAATAGTTATTAACAAAACATTTAACAATAATCTGTTTCAGATATGCACTAATACCTATTTATAGCCTTATATAGATTAAAACTGCCATTACATATTGATCTCGACTTGAGAATACACATACCGTATTTCACCAAAAATAAGCCCCCCGCCACTTTTCCCAATTTGTCAGGAATAGGGGGGTATTTGCGATTAAGCGCTCGCCCCCCTTTTTGAAAATAAAAACAACACATTCAACAATAAAGCAGTACTTGCATTTAATCGTAGAGGAACGCACCGATGGTCGAGCCGTCTCCAATTATCAGCTGCAGTCTAAGGGGAGAGAACTCGCCAGCCAACTCCGCATTGACAACTTCATAGCATCCAATGGAGGGTAACGCCGGTGGAACCAGCATTTCAGCATTGGAATACGATGATCTCAGTAAAATAAATTTTGTTATATTGTTAATAAAATTACTGATCCTATTTCCGTCTTTGGGTTATTTTTTATGACAGATAGGCCAAGTTATCATTCCTTATGACGAAAAATCCAAGATGACGGACACATGTACATCTTGTGAACAGGGGGATTGCCTGCAAATAAGCCCCCTCCCCTCTTTTGACAAGTCTTTTTTTAACTGGGTGGGGGGCTTATTTGCGGTAAAATACATAAATAAAAAAATATATGTATGACTGTTGCTGGAATAATTTTGTAACTATATATTATATTACTATATATCTAACAGTAGAGATTACATTAATTTTTGCATAATAAAAATGATCTGATCATAGCAGCTGCACTGTACAGTAAGCAGTAAACTAAAAGCAAGAGGCCCGTAGGGCCTGTACCACTCACCTGGATCTTAAAGCCTAGTAATGGTACACATGCCTATAGGTTGGGTATTTCAAATATTTCCAAATTAAAACTTGGTCACTTAAGCCCTTTCATGGTGAAAGACCAATGAGTAAACTCCTATAGCATTATTGTCTTTCTCTTTTGATGCCAAGTAAGAGTTTATATGGTTATTGGGTTGGTATCTCAGCTATATCAAAAATATGACCCTGAAATAATGTCCCTAAAGGTGTCCCATACTCAAGAGTCCATTCTTACATAACAAATGTGTTGATCTTTGATATCAATAAATTCTATATATATATAATGTTACAGCCATTTTAAAGGTATAACTGATGAGGGGCCATAAATCATAAATGTGTTAATCTCTTAAAGCCGAGCATATGGTTAAGGAGTAGGGATCTCAGTTGCTTCAAAGATATGACCAAGAAAGTGAGAAATGAAAGCAATTCATATATCATGATTGTTTTTGTTTATCATGGGGATTTCATTAACTTGACCTTATTTGAATAGAAACAAAGGAAATCAAGCAATAATAAGAAAGTCCTCTGACAGCCATTTTGTATAACTGATGAGATAAAATAAATGATTTATGATGCTATAAATTCTGTTTGAAATGAAGGCAAATTAAGTTTTTGTTTATCAATCAAAAACTTACTTGTTTTCAGAATAACAACTGGTATATACAGTTAGAATGATATTTTTGCTCTTTTGCCAATATTCTATTTTAATTTACAAAAAAACTTTAAAATGGCAGTATATAAATAATGGCATAATTATTAAAGTCTAAATAATAAGAAATTGTTGGTGAAAATCAGAACCTGAAATGTGTATTTAGATGATTAAGTAGATTCTCTATTTCCTTATGACAGATTATATACTTGGTTAGAAATTAAGCTCAATGTGGAGTTAAACAATTAACTCTAAACATGGCACACTTTATCAATTGAAGTCCAGTTAACAGTAGTAAACTGTAGGTGAAAATAAGAATTTAAAATGTGTGTTGGAATGGCCATACAAAGATATAAAAACATTCCAAATTTGGTTTATGATGACAACTTATAAGGTTCCAAGCTAACCTGAAATTTGACATGCTGCAATTAATCACTAAATTCAAGTTAACTTTAAACTATATGTGAAAATCTGTTTCGATGGTTATATATAGATATGCTATGTTTTGTTATGATTGCTTTCTGTGTTTTATGATAAATTAACCTCCGTGTGGAGCTAAAGACAAAACTTTAACGAGGTGTGGAACGTTACACAAAAATTGAAGATTTTTCTAATTTTAGTGACATTTCGATTATCTTAACCATCTGACACATCTTTTCAGAGTATGATTTAGATGTGTGAAAACTGCTTCTGACTTTTAACTAAAAGGTATAGAAATTATTTTATGTATCCAAATATGCACTAAAAATTTTTAATTTAAATTAAATTTAGAAACATATTGATCATGTCAACAATTATTCAATAGTTGTCAACTACACAACCACTTCTCCAAAGGAATTTGGACCACAGATCAACTTATCTTGACGATTTAATCGCCTTATATGCGAGGATCCTACAACTGCAATCCTGACCATATTTTCAGAACAAAATCTGCTTTTGTATTGGGTTTACAGACGAGAAATCGAACTTTTACGTGCCCACATACTTGTAGAACGCCGCGAAAGGAAGTTTCAAGACTTTCGGAATACTATAATTTCGTTTGGGGAGAAAGATGTCTCGGGATTATACCAGTTACTTCACAAGGTATGTTTATACTAGCTTTATGTAGTGTTATGATGGGCAGGCTTGAAATTTACGTTACTTGAATGATTAAAATGGTAACCGAATGTGAAATTAAGTGAAAAATAATCATTAATAATTGTAAACTTCATAGTACATTTTGACGCGAAAATACGAAACTAAAGAATAATACTAAAAGCTGACTAAAAAATTCAGAGCTACAGAGTGTCACATTCTTCGAACCGGCCAAAGTGTTCCGAATGCTTCAGTAGGTGAAGGGTGAAGGTTCCTGAAAGTTCCGAATAGTGTTGTTGATTTCACCGATATTCTCAATGTGGGGAAAATGGCAGCAGTGAAGAGAGCAAGGAAGTTTAAAATTTGGGTTATCTGCTATTCTTTCCGAGATTTAATTGCTTGAGGAGGAGAAAATTCATACACAATGGTAATAGAGCTTTCCGAATATTTATAGCTTACAAAATGGCAATTTGTACCTTTGCAGAATACAACAGACAATTTAAAGGTAATCTCATTTGGGATTCCTCCTTTAAACACCTTTATGTCGGACGTGTGACAATATTCCTCGTCAGACATTGTCAAACGTCAGATATAAATGAGTCCAAAGGAGGAATTCGAAAACGAATTATGTGTAGGAGGATGGCGGGTATTAATATTTGTACTACTATATGATTTGTCCACAAATATTATACATTCGCCTCTGATAAATCTACACGGGAGGTCATGACTTTTCTACTCAAATACATTCAAATATACTCAATTAAAATATAACTAAAATTTAATCAAATATACTCATTTTTTGCCTAATGTAACCATTTAAGACAGTGTTATGGTAGTATCAGACTTTGCTATGTGAAAATGTGTTTTTAACAGGGACCAAGGAGGAATATACATATTTATTGATTGCTGTACATGTATAGCACCATTGAATTACAACATATCAATTTACATGGACTTACAATATCAGCATGTATATGACCTTGAACTGTATGAAGAAATATATCTGTTTAAGACAGTGAAAAAAATTCTTAACTCAAAAAAAAATTTTAAAAATAAATTTTACAAACTTACAGTGTTTTCTTTATTGTATATCAAAATGATGTGTTTATGACCCAAATTTAGAAGGTTTACCAGATATTTTCGTGTATCATATACATCAATTGTGATGATGCTATTCTTGTGCTTGATTTAGAGATTGATTGAAAAATATATTAAAAAAATATGTTATCACCATTTTTTTACAAGTACCAAAGAAATATTTCTCAAACTTCATATTTTGGTTCCCCTCTTTCCCATATTTTGTCCATTATTGAATTTTGAATGTGATCAGTGAAACAAATTGGACCACAGTTGGTAATCTTATATTTTGACATATGAAGTCTGAGGAATTTTTTAAACCTGATGTGTACATTCCTCATGGTTCTTGTAATTGTATGCATTTCAGATTGATCAGTAAAATAAAATGGCTGACAGGTAGTTTTAGATATTTACTGGTGAGGTTTGTTATCGCCATTTCTTGGAAAGTTCAAGTTATACCCATCAAATCATGTTTGTGGGACATATTAAATTGGATTCCATTTGGTTGTGCAAGGTGATTTTTCAGACCAGTGCTCTGAAACCATTCAAAATAATTACTCAATGCTTTGTACAGTTACCAAGCTAGTACTGTAGTAGTACTTTTTGTTTTCGAGAAGTTCTCCATTTAGAAACATTTTCTGTTACCATGGAAACATACAGAGTCACAAATTTCTGCTTTCCTGGACAAGTGCTCTGAAAACATTCAAGATAACTATTTCAAACTTTGTTCCGTTGTTAAGATAGTGCTGTAGTAGTACCTTTTGCTATGGGGAAGTTCTCTGTTTAAAGCCACATCATAAAACCACCTTTTTTTATTATGTTTTTCTTATTATTGCATATATCTATATATATATATGTATGAAGTGTATCATTTTATGAACAATGACAGTTGGTTTGCGCTGAAATATGCACGCAAACAGAAAATTAATGATTTTGAAAAGATCACATTTTTGAACTACTCACCTGTTTGAACTGACCGACGGTTAACTGTAATCAATATGGTGCAGTAGAGTGTTAATCCCTTTGGGTCCCTTTATTGAAAAAAAAAATCACATATATACATGAAGGTAGACTACTGGTAGTTTAATACTGTAAGAATTAGTCCTAATGATTACATTCAGCACAAATTGAGAGTATTTGATTGAATTTTAGGTGTATTTAAGTACATATGGTTTATTTGAGTGTATTTGAGTATATTTGAGTGTATTTGAGTAAAAAATATTTTCCCTATATTGATGTTATGATCAAATATGTACCTAGCTTCCAAATAATTCTAAATTTTTCCGACATTCTATCCACTTTTACGTCTGTCTTGAGTTGATGAATGTCAGAAATCTGTCTGTATATAAAAAGTGAAGTAAATGACATATCTGCTGCTCGGTCTGCAATCAAACAATGATTGTGGAAAGAAATCATCATTGTAAACAATGATTAAGTGACCTGGTTTGTTGATGTTGGAGTCTACTATCAGTCAGAGTCAACAAATACGTTAACATTGTGTCAGTAAATCTATTACTGATTGACAATTTAAAAAGGAGTCTCGAGTCAATATAATGGCATAATATATATTATGCTCAGTACGGATCTGTCCAGAGAACTGGCCCGACTCTGGCAACATACCAAATGGACAGGGCAATGTCTCATTAGAAGCAGACATAGCATGGGACACCTCCCCTTGCGTATGCAGTAAAAGTCAGAATAATTTGAACTTCTGAATCGAAAAAGGAAAAAGCATCTCATTTAAATTTATACTGCACATGACACAAAAACAAATGCTAATCATTACCTGGGTACCCTGTTTCTATTATCATGTCAGGGTTTTCCATAAGAGCCGGTCGCCGGCCAATTTGACCGGCTACTTTGATCATTTGGCCGCCTACACCAATCCAGTTCCGTAATAATGTTCCGTACACGACTACACGTACACAGCAGGCCAGCCTCCTACTTTCACTACACAGCCTACTACTAACAAAATTATGGAAAACCCTGTCATGTGATGCTAATAGTAAAAAGCTGTATAGATTTACTGCCATAACTAAATCTTAGGTGTGAATGTGATTCTACCTGGTGCTAATATTTGTCTCTCTTAGTTTTTGATCTTATTTGTTAACATTGTTGATATAATACATACATTAATATGCTATTAACTGCTACAATGTGTATAAAAAAAGAAACAAAGCGAGTAAGCAGCTTAGTTGTTGTTGAAACGGAGTAACTGATCCATGAAGCAGATATGCGGTTTCCAATTTTCGTACTAGATTGCACATCAATTTGTTTATTGACTACTAGTGAACTTGAGACTGAGAAAAATAATTTGAAATTGATTTTGTGGTGGTATGTAAACATTATAGAGTTGAAGAGGTGGATGGAATTCGGAATCATTGAAATGAACAGTTGAGATTTGATTTATTTTTTGGTACTTTGTGGTTCATGTTATCAAACGGGATTTTGTTGGTAACAATGCTATTGAAACTGCTATATATACAGATGGTTTCTCTGTGAGGGGCCATAAAAGATAAAAAAAAATATGCCATATAACTTTGCATTGTAATAATTGTTTTATATTCAAGTGAAAGGTACATAATATTGACTAATATTGATGAGTTATTTGACCTGTGATGTTTTTGTGACCTTTATATTGACCTTTGACTTCTGTCTATCATTTTAGAATTTTTGCATTAAAAGATATTGAATGTCGATGGGAATTGATGAACAATACACCAGTGATTTGCTGATTTTCATGATGTTATTTTAAACCCTCATATACAGTTTAACAATTGACTTTATTCTGCTAGTATTTGTATACTATGATTTTCTCTCTCTCTCTCTCTGGAGATTATATTGATATCGTTAGCTAACACCTTTGTGTATATCATTGTCCCTACGGTTTATCTTCATTTCCTGCATAATTATATTCTTTATCATATTTAAACCTTCTCCCTCGACAATCTCATATTCTTTTGCCCAATCCTCAGAGTAATATCAGATCAATAGTCTAGTTTTGACATAGCTTGCTGTAAGATATTAAAATGAAAATATTGGTTTTAATATTGATTAGATTTTTTTATCATTTTATCTACTGACCATTAACATAAACCTGTGATGTAATCTTCTGTGTGATTTAATTTGACATGTGACATTCAGTAACAAATATTTGTGGGGGTTTATTAACGCTTATGTAATAGCCACAACCAAGAATACTACAAGAGTCACGTGGTATTAGTGTTAAGGAAATATTTCTGAATTATTCTGAGAATATATTGAACTTGTTCATAAAGGGATGTGGTGTTTCTCAAAGATATCTTGTTTTTTTTTTAGCTGAAATGTTATTTTAAATCATTGTTCCTCCATAATGCCAGATTTGATTTCAACCTTAGTTCTGAATAAATGAGGCCTGTTTAACACCTGGAGACAGGGGGATGGGACCCAAAATAGGAATTTTCACTGAAAATTTGATTTCAAAGGCGATGTTTCTTGAATGCCTGAACAGATTTCAACTTAATGTGATCTGAAACGTCACAGGGGAGGGCGATCATTTCAATCAAACAAATGAGCGTAATTTGACCCTTGGGGACAGAGGGACCGGGCTCTAAATGGAAAATTAGCTAGATGTGTACTTGAAAATGCTAAATTTCCAAAATGCCTGAGTTTTACCAAATTTGGTCTGAAACATCAAATGTCCTTAGTAAATCAAGTGGATTGAACCCCATGATACAGGGGGATGGGGCTCCAAACTAGAATTGTGTTAAATGTGAACTTTGAAAGGCCTGAATTCTTTTCAAGTTTGGTATGAAAGATGAAAATACAGCACAAGTGTAAGATATCACAGTCAGTTTTGCATGTAACATAGACTAAAAGCTAAATTTGGGTAATACAAATAAAACTAGTGAAGAAAAACATTCTTTGAATTTACCTTGAACTCTGCCAGAGATAATTAGACATATCACAATCTGGTGCAGAATAAAGAGAGTGAAAATTGCATTGAATCCTGTTTACAACACTGTACTTTCTAAAGTTGATTAGACTCTTTTGGCAGTAAAACTCATTAAAATGGATTGATGGCAGAGTACAACTAGGGACTAAAAGTACTTTTGATTGATTAGATATGGACAGTCAAAAGCACTATTAACACATTTGTAAAGAAAGACAAAGTCTAAAAATGGCCGCCTGTGATTGAGGCAAGAAAGAATAAAATGTCTACAAGTATCAGTGTAAGACATGGAATTGTAATCAACGTGTACCTTAAAAACTAAAACAAAACAAATTTGTGCTGGGCAATTTCTACTCAGTGAATTAAAGATGCGTTAGTAAGGAGACCATGACATTAGATGAAATTTTACTTTTTAACACCATTGCTATTTAACACCTGATTTTGACCAAATTTTCTTAGAAACATCAGTGGGAGAGGGAAATGATTTCTCAATGAATCTCAATGAATGAGGTTGTTTGAAGTGCTGGGGACAGGGGGATAGGGGATCATGATGGGAGTTAGCTGAACGATTACTTGATCAGAACGATCATTTGACCAGTCGTTTCTTATATAGATGAGGTTCACCTCTTGGTACTGTAGAAAAGATGATACAAAGAATTTCACTTTTTCATTTCAATGGATTCTCCATAAAGTAACTAAATCCTCAGGATGTTTGGTAGTCAGATGTCAGTTTATAGGCCTATAAATGCCTCTTGTTTCTTTAACCTACATCAATTTGGGAAGGTGTTTGCAATTCATTGTAAAGTGTAGCATTAAAAGTCAAGCCATGTAACATGTGATATTTAATTTTGTTTAATGTTCCAAAAGATATCTGTAACTCTCGATACTTTCAGTACTTTAATTTTTAGATATTCAGATCATTTAGTTTTTGTTTGCACTGCCTTGAATTATATTATTAATATAGGTACATATAAGTAAGTGTTAAGGCCTATAGGACTGTTTATATTGTAGGATGGTGACTTGCTACAACTGCCGATGGTTGACGGTGATGAGGCGTGTGATGTTCCCGAAGAACCACCGGACATTGAAAGCCAACTGGATACTTTCCGTGAGAGCTGGCAGAACGAAATTCAACAACAAGCTAAGGATCTGAAGTTGAAAGAGGGTACATCTCGTGTCAGCCCTGATACTGAAGAACATGTTAGTAGTTTCAAAATGATAGCTGCACTTTACTAGTCACATAAAGTTTATGTTGAACCCTTGTTTTAGTCACGTAGTCAATGTTTGTTATTTAAAGAATCAGTTGTTCAGACAAAATGCTCTGTGGAAGATATAACTCCAACTTGAAAAATTGCTTCCATTTATTCAAGAATGAAGTCTATATCCTAAGAATCCTGGGAAAGAACTGCTCTTCATCACGACCTATTTACATCTCATTATCTATTAATAGAACATGTTAGAATCAACACATTATAAGCTCACCTGACCAGGCGTGCTTATGCTGTTGCACAGTAGTTTATCATCTGTCCTCTGTTCAGCATCAACTTTTATGTTAAAGGAACTTTAATTCTTCTCAATAAACAAAAGACCGGAATTTCGATATTTAGCTGGTAGGTGTCTGGAATGTCAGTGGTGTAAAATGATAATGTACTTGTGAAAAGCATTGAATATTAGGTGAGTGATTTAGGCCCATGGGTCCTCTGAACCTGTATATATGTGACCTTTCTTGTAGTTTCAATATTTTAGATGAAAGGACTAATTTCCTTTACAAAATCATACTTGACACTCTTGCATACGATATTTCTGTTCCAAATATTAAGCACAAGTACTTGATTGATATACATTATGCATCTTTGCAGGCCAAGGTGTTGTTTCTGAATGGAATGCAAGCTGAACAGTCAGGATCACTCTATGAAGGTATAAACTCAATCTGCTCTGTATGATCCATACCGCATCAATTTTATGTGTTAATTGTAACATGAATGAAATCAAGGATCAGAGGTTTTGAAAAAAACAACAAATAAGTTTTACTTTTCAAATACAATGTTGATAATAATAATTACTAACACTTGAAACATTTCTTCTATTGTGGAATTATCTGTATTTACAGCAATATCATTCTACAGACGAGCGATGCATCTGGTTCCTGATATAGAGATGAGAATTGATTACACCAGCCTTTATCGCCCGACTCGAGGTACAAAGTTTACATTTCTTATCTCATCTGGGCCAAATGGCCAAATAAGCCTTTGCCTTGGTGCAGCAGCTGGTATCTATCTGTCTGTCTGTCTGGCTGTCCTTCCATTTGTTTGACCGTTAGTCTGGCGTCTACTTTTCCATATAAATGATTTCTACTCATTCACCACCTGATCAAATGTCATGGTATTTGGCTAGTGGGTTGATGGGATGAATCCTGACAAAGAAATGACCTTGACCAATATTCAAGGTCACAGGGGTAAAATTTGTGAAAATCTTTTAACGACTTCCTCAGACTTAGTATGACAAGTCCCCAGGATAAAGCCTGACAAATTTTGTGAAAAGAAATGACCTTGATCCTTATTCAAAATCACAGGATCAAATTTGATAAAATCTTAAAAGTGACTTCTTATGACTAACCAGAAGATGCAGAAACAGTATTTAGATGTGTTCCTAGGATGAAGCCCACAAAGTTTGCATAAAAAAAACCCTGACCTTTATTCAAGGTCACATGAATCAAATTTGATGAAACCTGTAAAAGACTTCTTCTTGTAAATCAGAGGTCTGAGAACTAAATGGGTTTGCTGGAAAGTTATTTCTAAGTGAAATCCCAACAAATTTGAAACGAAAAAAAGGTGCATTTATTTAAAATACATGTCACTGCTTAGAGTTGAGTATTAAAAGCTGTTTATCATGAAAATTGGTTAAAAATTGATCATATGTGTCCTCTTTGAATGCCAATAGTGAACATTTCAATAGATAATTACACAGATTCTGTTTTCGATGAACATTGAATACCAGTTAATCGATGCATGCCTATTTGGCCTCTTGTAATTTCCAAGTTTTTGAATCATATTTTAAGCCCACAATCATCAGATGGTGGATTCATTTACAAACTTATATTAAATGTTTCATTGATGATCTCAGTAAATTGGCTCCTGTTGCCTGTTATATCAACAAACTTTGGTCAACATAATGGTTTCCACATCAAATGAAAGTGTTCAACTGATATTCCAGTACAGCTTAGATGTAGATCGAATCTAGAAAATTGTTGACAAGTAACCCAACAGCTTATACTTGGTTGTGGTTTATAGGTTGGAATATATGGTATATGGATCGCATTTTGATGGCATAACTCCACAGATTTTAGAAAAATGCCTTGTTACGTGCGTGAAGGAATGTGAACAGTTTACAGTTTACTTTTTCTTGTTAATTTGTTGTTTTGGTTAAAAGAAAAAGACAAAAACACTTGATACATTATCACTTAGAAGAAACTAAAGAATTATCACTTATTTTCTCTTTTTACAGTGAGACAAGAAAGTGAGAGCTCTGTTGGCAGGTAGGTAATATAGCCAAACTTGTTTATGAAAGCCACTCTATGGAGCAGGTAAGAGTATCTTTATTGGCAGGTGATAATTATATATCAAGACGAGGGGCCTTTAAAATCACTCTTCCTCCTTGGGCAACTGTCCATCTTCAGTCATTCATCTGTCCTTTAACAGTTCTTTTTATCACTCCAGAGATATGTTACAATCCACTATGAAAAAGTTAAGCACTTTGATCCTTTTTTTTCAAATTGTGCTGGTTCCTTTTTCAAATTGCATATAATCAGGCCAAGTGAACATACTATGAAAAAAGTATTTCAAATTGTGTTAAGAAATGGGCCAAGTCATTTCGCTTTGAAAACAAATAGGTTGATGTGGTACACACTGCAATATGTAATCTTTAATCGTTTTAAAGCAATTGCAAAACAAGTTATTTCAACTTACGAAAATGTATATGATTCACTTTTGTTGGCTCAGATGTAAGATTATATTGTGTGAAGAAACTGGAGTACCAGGAATACATATTACAATTCATTTTGAGCACTTCGGTTTCTTTTCCGAATTGCATAAAAAAATAGGGGAAGTCCACACACTTTGAAAATATTTTTCAAACTGCGAAATTGGACCTGTGCCAGTGCTTTTTTAGGAGTTACAGACCCTTACACATCTATGACCAAATGTTAAACAAAGCATAGGTCACAGGCATCAAAGATGTTATAATCTTCAAATGACGTCTTCTCAATAGCAAAAAGGTTCAAGCTGTTGATATTGGTTCTTTAATATGACTGGATGAAGGACTACTGACAAAAGCTACTAATTTTGTTCAAATAATTGACCTTGATATTCAAGATCTCATTGGTTTTGTGAGTTGAGATCTTCTAATTTCTTTCAAGCAATAGGCTTGAAGTAATGGCATTAGTATAGTAGCATGTATAAAGAATAAGATTTCAAGTTTGCAGAAAATGTTTTTTTGAACCAACCACTGTCTTCAGTAAGCTGTACAGTAGTTGAGCAATTAATTATAGTCAGATGGTTGTTAAGACCTAGGGGCCTCTTGTTGTTGATTGTCTTTTTTCTACAGCTATGAATGTTTTTAATATTTCTCTCAAAATGACTGCCTGAGAAAGGCTTCTTGTTTGTTAAAATTTAGATATTGTCTGACTACTATGAAAACTGGTATGTAGGTGTATTATGGCATTTTGAGCTTCTGATTTCTGATTTAACAAAATGGCCATCATTTCTCTGCCTTAGAAGGATTAAACTGTTAACATTGTCCTGTTTTGATGAATATTATGGACTACAAATAAAACTGCAACATCCGCATACTGAGGCAATAAAATCATAATGTTTCTTCCGTCGGCATATCCTGTCTGTCATATGTAAACTTTCCATTCATATGACTTCTTCTCAATAACCAGAAGTCTCAGTGTGCTGGTATTGTGCCTGTAGTATGATGGGGAGAAGTGCTACCATGTTTGTAAATATGAATGACCTTGAACTACTTTCCAGGTCACAACGGGCAAAATATGACGAAATGTTTAAACAACTTCATTTCTATTAGCAAAAGGTCCAGGGTGCTGATATTGGGCCTGTATTAATTTGCCTTGAACCACTTTCAAGGTCACAGGGGTCAAATGTGTTGAAATATTTAAACTTCTTCTCAATTACCAAAAGGCCCAGAGTGCTAATATTGGTCACATAGCATGTTTGATGAAATTAATGACCTTGACCCATTTTCCAGATCTCAGGGACCTGTTGCATATATGGGTCTTTATAGTCAGATGATTGTTAAGGCCTGTTGTTAATAATTTACCAAAGCAGACAAAGATCAGGTTGTGTGATTTACAAGAAAAGGTGAAAATTTCTGAATGATTTCGATGGTGCTCCATTTCTAGGTCATATGTCCAATCAGAAGGAATAATAAACAGGTTATACAGGCCTATAACTACTTACTGTCTTGACATTGTTGACCTTGAAGATGATCTGGATATACATCTCTTTGGCTGTCCTTGTAATCACTTTTAAGACAACCTTTGCTACCAGTCTGTATTTTTTTAACAGTGCTGACTTTGATGATTCTGAAGACGACCTAGTTAGCCATTTGCAAAGGATAAGAATACAGAATGATGACAGTGCCATCTGTCTTCCAGAGTACGAGCAAAGGGTAGGTAACTCATGAATACCAGTAGTAAGTTGAGCCATATCTGTACTTTTGATATGTTCAATGTCTTTATATCTGTATACTTGAAACCATATTTGGTTGCAGGTTTGTTACTTACACACATACACATATTCAAATAAGCTGTGTTTGTATCTGTATGTTAAAACCCTGTTAATTTGAAATATTTTTTCACCTTGAATACTGCTGCGTCAGACCATCTGTCAATTTTTTCTACAAATGGCTAATAGTCAGGAATGACTAAGGAGATTTTTGGTAGGAATTTGACCTGAAACCATTCTCAAGTGAATGTAAACACCCTTGGGTGAAGAAGAATCAGTTTTGTACAAATAGTAGGTCTCTGCCCTCAGGGGAGAAGGAGGAGTAGAGCCAAACAAGGGAAATAGGACAAATTCTTTTAAATCATATTCCTCATGATGGAATGATTAGATTGGATTTCGTTCACCTATATAGTAGACCCTCAATGATCTGGACACCTTCATTTCTGACCAAAATCATCCGTTGTCCTGACTGGCTAATTTAGTCAACTTGCCAAGATAAATTGAGTAATTCCCTTGGTACTATAATGTACAGGACGCTGAAACTAGTTTCCAAAGGTATTCATATTATACACACAGAATTTATTGCTAATACAGGTGTTTATTAATTTGTTATTAATGTGTATTTTTAATTACAGTACATGTATTCTGTAAAATTACAGAAATAAAAGTTATTGATCATTTGCTCCACTTTCACAAACAATTCTGAAACATCTGCTTGAAAACATAGTGATTGTTTACTCAAAACATTTGACAAAATTTTGTATAAATGATGGGTCTCGGCCCCCTGTGGCAAAAGGGGTGGGGCCCAATAGGGAAAATCTATCAATTTCCTGTAATATCTTTCTTGTTCTCTAGAAATTGGTGGATATTATTTGGTCTAAAGCATGGTTGGGTGAAGGGAAATTAGTTTTGTTTAAACGTTGGGTCTTGGCCCTCTGGGGCCAGAGGGCGGGGCCAATAGGGAAAATCTATAAATTTTGTAATATCTATCTTGTTTTATAGGAATTGCAGGATGTTGTCCACTTTGCAACATCAGCAATTCCTTTGGATCTTTGGTTCATTGAAACAGTTGTGATCCCCACTGAATAATATAGCATTGCTTAGCATCAGGGGATGAACACAATCATAACTGATAATTTTTCCTGGTGTCTGGTCCCGTCCCAGGACAGATTATATCATTGAGATTACCATCCCATAATTTGATAGCATTGGTTGACATCAAGAAATTAACAACTGATCTCTGTCCCCACTCCTAGGGAATTTGAAGCTGTATCTGTGGGGTGAGGCCCATCAGGGGAAATATTTTCCTTTTAGTGAAATGTAAAGTTTGCATTATTGACTTAGATATGGAGGCGAGCGATACAGACTCTCTGGGTCTTTTGTTTTACATAAAAAAAATTTTCTCCATTCAATATCAAGGTGTATTACTGATAACATGGAAATTACTAATGCTGTGTTCACTAAGTATAATAGACCATGTCATGGGCATTGAGATTTAATTTCCTTATATGTCATGTAACCTTTATTTCCTGACTACTTCTATCATTATAGTATACAAAATACAGACCAAAAATGTTTACATACATAAAATTAAAATTGTAATGAATAGATTTTGAATTGATTATCAAAAGCTACATAACAAGACTACTCTGTAGGATGTATTTATTTGGCAATGCATAACATAGCTGTAAGGGCTGAATTAGACGACACTTTGTATTGCCTTAAAACAGTTAAGGGTAGGGGAACCCGTAAAGAGATGAGAAAAAGGGCACTTGTTAACTGAGTTAAGAAAAAGCATACATCAATCAGCCGAGACATGTCCACAGACACTTATGTTAAAAAAATTTCAAGTATTTAAAGATGGCTATTGTAAAAAATGTCCTTATCTCCATCGGGGTAGAGGGACAAGGCTTACTAGGGGAAATAGATACCAGAGTTGATGTAATATTAGCCAACAAAATTAACTGAGCAATACAGGCTCGATGGGCCTCTTGTTTTGGCTAGTTTGGTTTCGTTGTCAAGATATCCAACTTGATGAAGGGACCTAGTTGGTGGGAAATGGGGGAGGGGGGAGGGGTTGCCTAAACAGGAAATTAGGAAATTATTTTCCTTCAAAATGCTATTCCTTTAATCTTGAATTTATTTCATTTAAATTTAAATTTTGTCTGAAATATTGTTAGAGCTGGTTTATTCATTCTTTAATTCAGAAAGTTGATTCAACCCCAAGATATTTGGTACCAGTCTCCAAAAGGGATTAGGGTACAAAACTGTTAATTCAATGTAATATTTTGACTTTTTGTTAAATTATCTTTTTGAATGAATGAAGATCGCAGTTATTCGTCGATAAATCATGTTTCTCTTTGCTTACCATTTCAGGCATCCCACATTTCTTGTTTGCCGATAGAAGTCCTTATCCTTGTTTTCAAGTGGACCATAACTAATGATCTCGACATGAAGTCCCTGGAGAACTTGTCAGAGGTGAGATATCACAGTGATGTATTTGTAGTTTAAAGCCTTCGAGAAGAAAACCAGCAGTGTTCATTGAGTCGATTCAGATAAAAGCTAATGAAAGTTAAGTCCTAGAAAGAAGGAGTTGCAGTGGTAAGAAAAATATACTGATAGAGCGTGGGGATAGTATGTTAACGCCGGAGCATGTAGTCACAGAAGTGAGTCACTTCGATGGAGTTGGTTAATGTTTAGGTTGCCTAAAACAAAGCCTCTAGGTGATACCCTTTTGTCTGGCGTCGTATGGTTCCAGTCCCCAAGGGACCTTAGGGGTTAAATTGACTGAGATTTCAAAACTTCTTCTCAATACCCAAATATGATAGAAACAAATACTAGTCATGGACCAATACAAAGGTCTTAAGCTGCTTTACCCAAGTTGTAAATTTCATGACCCCAGGGTCTAATATTTTACTTACTATAGTAACAGTTTACTATAGTTTGAATAGGAAAATTACATTTTTGAGCATAATTTGTTTAATTTCTATTGGAAATAGATCAAACATGAAAGGAACTGTTAGTATAGGATGAAAATATGATGTTATGCACATACTGACCCCAGGGGCTGATGATGGGCAGGCCAAAAATGGTCAAATCGTCTTAAATTTCAGAAATCTTTTTCTCAATACCCATGTATGGTAGAATCAAATACTCTTCATAGTCCAATGGAAGGGTTTTAGCTGCTTTACCAAAATCTGTTGGGATCTGTTTTACCATTCTACTCAGCTGTAAAATGTGTAATAGCATTTTAACAATAATGACGTCCTTTGAGGAAAATAATCCTCCAGTTTGAGGAGCTTTTCATACTTGTATTCTTTGTATTTCAGGTTTGTCGCGGCTTTTACTTGTGTGCTAGAGATGAAGAAATATGGCGACTAATTTGTTTGAGGTGTGTTTCAACCATTTCTAAACAATGTCATTCTTGTGAATATGTAATATTTTGTAAGAATATTCTTTGAAATCTAATAGAGGACTATTTGTATATCTGTTAAAACATTATCATGTTGTTAACCCAGTGTAGTGGTGAAATTCCTCTTTCTTGCAAAGGACAAAGATTGTTGCTAAAAATTGTTAGGTACATGATATTTTTAGCCTATCACCATCGGATGGTTAACTATTCAAATGGTTCTACGTCCATAGTTCCATATAATACTTGAACAGAACTGGAAAGATCTTTCTCAAATGTTACATGTATAGGTAGTTTTTGTTCTCTAATTGTGCCCTTATAATTTTGGTGCTGATCAGAAAATCAAAATGGCTGACAGGTGGCCATCATGAATTTTGACCATGGAATTTCTTTTTTTTATCACTTTTACTTGGGAATTACTTACTGGATCTTTCTCATAGAGCTAGGTGTATTATTATGGTCATTCTTCATCTCCACTCATCACCACACACAGTATCATTTTATATATCTACCATTAGAAAAATCTTATTTTTTAGCTTACCTGGCCCGAAAGCATAAAAGCATAATTTCATCGTTATTTGATATAAAACAGTGAAACTGAGAGGATGTACAATGTACTAAATTCAGTGTGTTGAACCGATTCATTACAAAATTATTGCCCTTTGTTAAAAATATGTCCATTAAAGTCATTACTCTTGTTTCTTTAATATAAACATTGATGCTGATTCTTGCCAATGTGAACATACATAAAAGTTGTACTAAAGTGAGGAATGATGAAAGCTAATGACTTATTCAAACCCTCACATGAAGTTCGGGGTGAGGGAAGAGGTTATAATGAAATCACTCTGTCCGATCATCTGACTGTCTGTCAGTACGTCTGGAATATTTGTGTCAAGTATATCTAATAAAGTGCTGATGCAATATTTCTCAAACTTAGTATACTACATCCATATGGCATAAGGTTGTGTTGTTTCGCTTTTCGTACATTTTTGACATTGTTTGGTAGAGTTATGCCCCTTTTTATTTTTCTGTATGGAAATTGTGTTTGGTAGATCTAATAAGGTACTGAAGTAATATTTCTCAAACTTGGCATGCTACATCGCTATGAAGTATTTTTCTTCCCTTTCACTTTTCATTTAAACTTGATCAAATGCCAAATCTGATTATAGCCTATAATTTGCCATTTTTACGTTCCAAAACCGTTACACGGAAACACTGCAGGCTTCTGATTCTGGTCAAAATTAACATATTATCTGATTAAGTTGAAAACTGGCATAAAAAGTTTTAGATGGATGACAAATTCAATGATATCATTTTCGGGGAAAAAAATGTTTCCATTTGATTGACATGGTGACCAAATGAAGACCTCTTGGAGGAATCTTTTTCATTTATACCAACAATTGTTGGTCTATTTCATATACTACAAGGACATTGACAAGCATGAGGTAAATGCTCAGCTCAGCAGTATATGATTTGAGTGGAAAAATGAAGGGATCCTATATTATGGCACTACGAACTTGCTGGTCACGATACTAAACTCCTTAGAGATAAACTATACATCAAAGGAAAATTTTATGATCATTGCCATGACAGTAAACAAACGTCAGCTTAAAGAAGCCTTCATTGTCACAACAACAGCCTACTTTTGATGCCAGATAACTAACAGCCTTATATTGTAAGCATGGCGTTGTGTGTTTGTATGAAACTTGTGTAAGAATGTACTCCAGAGAAGTAAAAAAATCCAGTATTACACTGGAAGAAGATTAAAAGCAAAAAAAAGGTCATGATATTTGACTGGTAGGTTACTGCAATGAAGCCTAACAAAGTTTGCTAAAAGAAATTACCTTTAGCCATATTCAAGGTCATAGGAGTCATTGATATATTAAAACATTAAAACATCATCTTTTAACCTACCAAAAGACACAGATATTTGGCTTAAAGGTTCCTAGTATGATTTCCAAGAAAGTTTCAAAAACATATGATCTTGATCCATATCAAAGGTCACAGGGGTCAAATTTGATGAAAAGAATTTGTTGGAAGGATTCCTTCTGATTAACCAAAAGGCGTAGCATGGTATATAGCCCATAGGTTTCTAACATGAAGCCTGAAGAATTGTACAGGAGGCCATTTTGGCATTTTTTTAATGAAGTTTTTTATCCCTATTACTAGAAAAATAGTAATGGATCCCTCTCAAATTTCATATGAAGGTTCCCTTGTTCTCTAATTGTGCCCATGTTATTTTGGGATTTATCAGAAATTAAAAATTAAAATTTTAAAAATTGTTATCGCTATTTCTTGAGAAATACTGAGTGGATCTTTCTTAAATTTCATACGTAGGTTCTTCTTGGCCCCTAGATGTGCCCCTTCAATTTTGGGTTTGATCAAAAAAAAAAAAAAATTGCTGAGAAGTGGCCATCTTGTATTTGAACTTTGAATGTTTGTTATTGCTATTTCTTGAGAAGTACTTGATGGATCTTTCTTAAATTTTATATGTAGGTTCCTTTTGGTCCCTAGTTGCTCATCAAATTTTTGGACTGATCAGAAAAACAATATGGTTGACAGGTTGCCATCCTGTATAGATTATTCTTAAACTTCATATGTAAGTTCCTTCTGGTCCCTAGTTGTGCCCACTTGGTTATAGGGTCTGTTCAGAAAAAGAAAATGGCAGACAGACAGACATCTTGGTTTTTGACTTCGAAAGTTTGTTATCACTATTCCTTGAGAACTACTCTACAGATCTTTCTCAAATTTCATGTATCGGTTCCTGGTGGTCTGTTGTTGTGCCTGTTTGAGTTTGGAACTGACCAGAAAACAAAATGGCTGACAGGCAGACAACTTGGATTTTGCCAAGTAAAGACTGTTGTTGCTATTTCTTATGAAATACTGAATGGATATCTCTCAAATTTCATATGTATGTTCCCTTTGGTCTCTCCTTATGCCCTTTTGATTTAGGGACTGATCAGAAGAAACAAAATGGCTTCCAGGTGGCCATTTTGAATTCGGCAGATAAATATTATCATCACTTTTTCTGCAAAGGAATGTTCAAATGTCTTATCATTAAGAGCAAAAACAGAGCAAAGAAAAGAAGGAAAAATCCAACTTTCAAATAGCAAATAAAGATCAAACAATGGTGGGCGCCAAGGTTCCTCTGGGATCTCTAGTTTGTACTTCCAATTTTGTCTGGAGCAGAACACAAAAAGTATAAGAGATATTAACACCATACTTCTAGAGTTTGTTCCTGGAGCATCCTATAATTCTACTAATTATTTTATTTGATTACATGTGACTTAGATCCACTTTGTTTTGTAATGTAATGACTTATTATGTATTGTATTCATTAAAAAATCTTTGAATGCCTGATATATTGATAACATTGAGGCTTGTTTTTGCTGAAAGTAAACAAATGTAATTGGTTACTATTTTTGGATAGATTGTGGGGAGTGAACTGCAGAAATTGTAAGAAGTTTGGTAGCTGGAGGATGATGTACATTGAAAGACCACACCTACTTTTCCATGGTAAGTAACTACTTTATAATACAGTGGAATTCACTGATTATGATGTCCTGTTTTCTAGATAAGATATCATAATAACATCATATTAGAAAAGGATCAAGCTGTGAGGTTGCTTGAACCGGAAGTTAGACTGCCATAGCAATAATTAATAACTATCTGATAGGTTTATATTTATGCACAGTCATATTGGATGCAAGTAAGTTTCTACTTCCACTTCTAGTTCTGTGTCGGAGAACTGAGTTAAATGAAGGCAGAATAGATTGTTGTAATACAATGTTCAGTAAGGGTTAGATCTGTTGATTGCATTATTAATCGTCATAATTATATAGATTACCGTCATGAGTTGCCTGTTTTATTTGTTAAGTAAAAGAATATTACCTGGCCCCACTTGTATATAACATCTCAGCTTGAGATTTCCTCAAGTCGAGATTTTCCTCAGCTGATATCTCCTCAAAAACGGCTTGTATAAAATTTCTCAAGGAACAGGAGGAAGGCATCAGCTAGGATGTCCTGAAATTCCATCAGGAATTTTCATACAAGATATTTTCAAGGAGATATCAGCTGAGGAAAATCTCGACATGGGGAAATCTCAAGTTAAGATGTTTTATACAAGTGGGGCCTGGTTCCTATAATCATCTACAATATTATTTTTCCCCATGATTATCAGGTAACAAACCACTTTATGACATGTTGCCCGATCATTTACTTGAAGACAAAATTACCGGTAGGTAATTTTCCAATTTGATTTGATTTCTTACAATTTTTACACTTAAGTCATGATTAAGAGCTGTTGATAAGTTTACCTAGGGATATCTCAGGCCAGCTATATATTACTGGAGATAAGTTTACCTAGGGATATCTAGGCCAGCTATATATTACTGGAGATAAGTTTACCAGGGAGAGAAAAGTCTTGATATCTCAGGCCTGCCTTATATTACCGGAGATAAGTTTACCTGTGGATATCTCAGGCCAGCTATATATTACTGGAGATAAGTTAAATAAGATATCACAGGCCTGCCTTAAACTAGAGGATATCTCAGGCCTGCCTTATTTACTGGAGATAAGTTTATAGGGATATCTCAGGCCAGCTATATATTACACTGGATATCTCAGGCCTGCCTATATATTACAGATAAGTTTACCTAAGGATATCTCTTATATTACTGGAGATAAGTTTCTCAGGCCTGTGCTATATATAGGGATATCTGGAGCTATATATTACTGGATAAGTTTACCTAGGGATATCTTCTGCCTATATATTACTGGAGATAAGTTAATACTACTGGAGATAAGTTTACCTGGTGATATCTCAGGCCAGCTATATATTACTGGAGATAAGTTTACCTAGGGATATCTCAGGCCTGCCTTATATTACTGGAGATAAGTTTACCTTATATTACTGGAGATAAGTTTACCTAGGGATATCTCAGGCCTGCCTTATATTACTGGAGATAAGTTTACCTAGGGATATCTCAGGCCAGCTATATATTACTGGAGATAAGTTTACCTAGTGATATCTCAGGCCTGCCTTATATTACTGGAGATAAGTTTACCTAGTGATATCTCAGGCCAGCTATATATTACTGGAGATAAGTTAAACTAAGGATATCTCAGGCCTGCCTTATATTAATTGGAGATAAGCCTTATATTACCGGAGATAAGTTTACCTAGGGATATCTCAGGCCAGCTATATATTACTGGAGATAAGTTTACCTAGGGATATCTCAGGCCAGCTATATATTACTGGAGATAAGTTTACCTAGGGATATCTCAGGCCAGTTATATATTACTGGAGATAAGTTTACCTAGTGATATCTCAGGCCTGCCTTATATTACTGGAGATAAGTTTACCTAGGGATATCTCAGGCCTGCCTTATATTACTGGAGATAAGTTTACCTAGGGATATCTCTGGCCAGCTATACATTACTGGAGATAAGTTTACCTAGGGATATCTCAGATCTGCCTTATATTACTGGAGATAAGTTTACCTAGGGATATCTCAGGTCTGCCTTATATTACTGGAGATAAGTTTACCTAGGGATATCTCAGGCCTGCCTTATATTACTGGAGATAAGTTTACCTAGGGATATCTCAGGCCAGCTATATATTACTGGAGATAAGTTTACCTAGGGATATCTCAGGCCAGCTATATATTACTGGAGATAAGTTTACCTAGTGATATCTCAGGCCTGCCTTATATTACTGGAGATAAGTTTACCTAGGGATATCTCAGGCCAGCTATATATTACTGGAGATAAGTTTACCTAGGGATATCTCAGGCCAGCTATATATTACTGGAGATAAGTTTACCTAGGGATATCTCAGGCCAGCTATATATTACTGGAGATAAGTTTACCTAGGGATATCTCAGGCCTGCCTTATATTACTGGAGATAAGTTTACCTAGGGATATCTCAGGCCAGCTATATATTACTGGAGATAAGTTTACCTAGGGATATCTCAGGCCTGCCTTATATTACCGGAGATAAGTTTACCTAGGGATATCTCAGGCCAGCTATATATTACTGGAGATAAGTTTACCTATATAGGGATATCTCAGGCCAGCTATATATTACTGGAGATAAGTTTACCTAGTTTACCTAGGATATCTCAGGCCTGCTATATATTACTGGAGATAAGTTTACCTAGGGATATCTCAGGCCAGACTTATATTACTGGAGATAAGTTTACCTAGGGATATCTCAGGCCAGCTTTATATTACTGGAGATAAGTTTACCTAGGGATATCTCAGGCCAGCTATATATTACTGGAGATAAGTTTACCTAGGGATATCTCAGGCCAGCTATATATTACTGGAGATAAGTTTACCTAGTGATACCTCTGGCCTGCCTTATATTACTGGAGATAAGTTTACCTAGTGATATCTCAGGCCAGCTATATATTACTGGAGATAAGTTTACCTAGTGATATCTCAGGCCAGCTATATATTACTGGAGATAAGTTTACCTAGTGATATCTCAGGCCAGCTATATATTACTGGAGATAAGTTTACCTAGGGATATCTCAGGCCAGCTATATATTACTGGAGATAGGTTTACCAGGGGATATCTCAAGCTAGATATACAACATATCACTGCAGAGATGTAGCTTGTAACCCTAGCTCCAGTGATATGTTGAGTAGTATATCTGGTGGCCTGAGATATCACTAGGTAACCCTAGCTACAGTGGTTTGTTGAGTAGTATGTCTGGCAGGCTGAGATATCACTAGGCAACCCTAGCTCCAGTGATGTGTTGAGTAGTATATCTGGCAGCCTGAGATATAACTAGGTAACCCTAGCTCCAGTGATATGTTGTGTTGTATATCTGGCAGCCTGCGATATCACTAGGTAACCCTAGCTCCAGTGATATGTTGAGTAGTATATCTGGCGGCCTGAGATATCCCTAGGTAACCCTAGCTCTAATGATTTGTTTTATGGTATATCTTGCAGGTCTAATGCTGATGCATACAAGTTCTGATGAACCTATGGTAATGCTGACCAAGCTGAGATCCAAACAGGCAAGAGAACAGGGACTTCTGAAAGGATACTATCGTGTCCTTGGAGACAGGGTAGGTATTTTGCTCCCCAAAACTTCAGACGGAGCATATAGTCACCACTTTTTTTGTTTGTTCAGCTGTCTTTCTGTCGATCTTTTATTATTCTGGAGCATAACTTATCCCACAGTAAGACAAGGTTCTTGAAATTAAATGTATACATTGGTCATAGTGCTATGTACAAGAAATACCAGAAATTCTTTAAAATCTTACCGTAAAATCTTCTCTAGGAATGATTGGAGTTTGCCCAAATTTGGCCTGAAGCATTGTTGAATTAGAGTGAGTCAGTTTTGTGTAAGTGGTAGGTCATAGGCCCCCTTTGGACCAGAGGGTTGGAGCCCAATAGTGGAATTAGCGCAAATTCATTAAAGTCTTACTCCTCCTGTAGGTAAAATTGGGTTTTGTCGTTATTTGGTCTGAAGTATTGTTAGGTGAGTAGGAATCAATTTTGTATAATCAGTGGGTTACAGCCCCCTGGGGTGGGAGGAGCAGGGGCCAAGGGGAAATTTGAAAATCCTACTCCTCCTGAAGGAAAGATTGGGTTTTGCCCCGGATCAGAATTATTCTTAGGTGAAGGGGAATAACTTTGCATAAGTGGTCGGTCTTGGCCAGCAACTTTGTTAACATGAATGACCTTGTCACACTTTCAAGGTCACAGGTTTCAAATGTGTTAAAAGGTTTAAAATGACTTTTCTCAATGACCAAAAAGCCCAGGGTTTTGATATTTGGTCTGTAGCTCCGCTGTAATGGAAATTGTGTAGTAAATGTATAAAGAGTATGATTTCAAGTTTGCAGAAAATGTCTTGATGGACCAACAATGTCTTCTATGGGAGCAGTAGAGTAGATGAGCAATTTATTTTAGGCCTATTTTGCCTCTTTCATATATAGGTCTTTATAGTCAGATGACCATTAAGGCCCACGGGCCTCTTGTTTATCATGAATGCACTACACATTCATTCAGTTTGCAAAAAAGGGTTTTACTTTCATACAAGCATGAAACTGAAAAATGTTCCTTTCAAAGCTTAAATGAAATTGAATACTTTCACTTGTCAGTTTGACACTTTTACCATCATATAGGTTACCGGAGTACTGAAACGTGTAAAATCAGGCAAGGAAAGTGGTGCTTACATGAAACATTCCAGGCACCGGGAGCAAATGAGAAACATGCACAGCAATGAACAGACTTATCACGTGGTAGGTAGGACTCGGACATTGTGATGCCTCTAACAGCTGATGTATTTGTTCATCTGTAATTAAGAAATGTTCCATTCAAATAGGCCTGCATCCCTGGTCCATTGTCTGTTGTTAATCCATCTGTCCATTGTCAGTCATTGGTTGTTCGTTGTCGGGAGTCCATCCGTAAACATTTCTAGATAAGCAATGAATGAATCTCTCTCAAATTTCATATGAAGGTACCCATCAGTTGGAAATTGTGCCCTCTACATTTGGGACTTAACAGAAAAACATTTACTATGAATGTTTGTTAGGCCCCTGTAGTGACCACTCAGTCCGTCTTTGCATCCATCCGTCCATAACATATTCATGTCCATTTCCTAGCTTCAGTCATTGAAGACGGATGACACAATGCATCTTGCTTGTAATCCAAAAGCAATTCTCAGACTCTCAACCTCTAGGGATTTCATGGGACATCTTACATTTTTCCTTGTCTGCGTTTATCTGAAACACATTTGGCATCTGCTCCAAGACTTTGTATCCAGTCATAGTAGAGTGATGAAACTGTGTAGGGGTCAAATTTGTTAAAACCTTTAAACAACTTCTTCACATGAACTTAAAAGCCTGGAGTCATGATATTTTGCTAGTATATTCCTAGGGTGAAGCCCAACAAAATTTACAAAAGGACATGACCATCAGGAATGATAACCATGGTAACCATTCAAAATATGCATGAATTATACATATGTGAAAAGTTTGTCAATTTTGGCCATTTTTCATATAATATATACCAGGTGAGCACTGCAGGCCCATTGGGCACCTTGTTTAAAATGTAAAGAAGGGTGATATAGTTAGTTAAAGTTAATCAGACTTATCATGTTTGAAATTGCTTTACTTACAATATTATAACCATTTAATTTTTATTTTTTAGGAATTTGAGATTACTCATACAGGCAAACGCAAACACTGCCGATTGAATTGGCTTCAATACTCTGTACACATCAGATACAAGTAAGTACAGTTTACTATCAAGTGAACTCAGTATCCTGTACACATCAGATACAAGTAAGTATAGTTTACTATCAAGTGAACTCAGTATCCTGTACACATCAGATACAAGTAAGTACAGTTTACTATCAAGTGAACTCAGTATCCTGTACACATCAGATACAAGTAAGTACAGTTTACTATCAAGTGAACTCAGTATCCTGTACACATCAGATACAAGTAAGTACAGTTTACTATCAAGTGAACTCAGTGTCCTGTACACATCAGATACAAGTAAGTACAGTTTACTATCAAGTGAACTCAGTGTCCTGTACACATCAGATACAAGTAAGTACAGTTTACTATCAAGTGAACTCAGTATCCTGTACACATCAGATACAAGTAAGTATAGTTTACTATCAAGTGAACTCAGTATCCTGTACACATCAGATACAAGTAAGTATAGTTTACTATCAAGTGAACTCAGTATCCTGTACACATCAGATACAAGTAAGTACAGTTTACTATCAAGTGAACTCAGTATCCTGTACACATCAGATACAAGTAAGTATAGTTTACTATCAAGTGAACTCAGTATCCTGTACACATCAGATACAAGTAAGTACAGTTTACTATCAAGTGAACTCAGTATCCTGTACAAATCAGATACAAGTAAGTACAGTTTACTATCAAGTGAACTCAGTATCCTGTACACATCAGATACAAGTAAGTACAGTTTACTATCAAGTGAACTCAGTATCCTGTACACATCAGATACAAGTAAGTACAGTTTACTATCAAGTGAACTCAGTATCCTGTACAAATCAGATACAAGTAAGTATAGTTTACTATCAAGTGAACTCAGTGTCCTGTACACATCAGATACAAGTAAGTACAGTTTACTATCAAGTGAACTCAGTGTCCTGTACACATCAGATACAAGTAAGTACAGTTTACTATCAAGTGAACTCAGTGTCCTGTACACATCAGATACAAGTAAGTATAGTTTACTATCAAGTGAACTCAGTATCCTGTACACATCAGATACAAGTAAGTATAGTTTACTATCAAGTGAACTCAGTGTCCTGTACACATCAGATACAAGTAAGTATAGTTTACCAAGTAAGTATAGTTTACTATCAAGTGAACGCAGTATCCTGTACACATCAGATACAAGTAAGTACAGTTTACTATCAAGTGAACTCAGTGTCCTGTACATATCAGATACAAGTAAGTACAGTTTACTATCAAGTGAACTCAGTGTCCTGTACACATCAGATACAAGTAAGTACAGTTTACTATCAAGTGAACTCAGTATCCTGTACAAATCAGATACAAGTAAGTACAGTTTACTATCAAGTGAACTCAGTATCCTGTACACATCAGATACAAATGAGTCCAGTTTACTATCAAGTGAACTCAGTATCATGAACACATCAGATACAAGTAAGTCCAGTTTACTATCAAGTGAACTCAGTATCCTGTACACATCAGATACAAGTAAGTACAGTTTACTATCAAGTGAACTCAGTATCCTGTACACATCAGATACAAGTAAGTACAGTTTACTATCAAGTGAACTCAGTATCCTGTACACATCAGATACAAGTAAGTACAGTTTACGATCAAGTGAACTCAGTATCCTGTACACATCAGATACAAGTAAGTACAGTTTACGATCAAGTGAACTCAGTATCATGTAGAAATCAGATAATAGTCTATTTTGTTAGCTCGGCCCAAAGATTGCAGATTTTGACCAAAGGACATGGCAGTGTAAGAACTTTAATTGGCCCAAAATATCAACATTGTACAACAAACAAAAAGTTTTTACCAAATCTTCCATGGCTAAAGACGCTATGATCCCGTTGGTCGTGCGTCATGTATCATAAAATTTTTAACTAATGAACCGATTTCAATGATATTCTACAAAACCTTCCATGGATTAAGATGCACCAAAGTTATAAACTATATGGTCCCCAACCCCCAAAGGCCTGAGGGGCGGGGCTAAAATAGTTCAATTTGATTGAAACTTAAAAAATCTTCCTCTCAAATCTCACATTTTCTACTTGGGGAGGGGGTAAAATTTACTATAGTTTATATCTAGGAAAATTACATTTTTTTAACCTAATTTCTTTCAGGAATAGTACAAAGATATTAATGACGTTTTTTACTCCTGACAATGGATCTGTCTTAGATAAAAAATTGATGACTGTGTGACATGTTTCTGCAATAATGATGTCACTACCATAGTTAAGGTTGAAACAGCAAAATTGTTGAACACCTATGACATCAATAATGTACAATGTTGGTTATTTATGTTGCAATATACATCATTGTGATCAGGCAGACAATCACCAAACCTGCTGCTTCTTATGTTCTGTTTTCCCAAATATAGAATTAGATCAAGTACCTTGCTTCCTTGGTAGATTTTAGGAAATCTCCAATATTATGCTTAGTACTTCTTCAGAATGAATATATGTTTACTGCTTCGCTTCTTCAGAACAGAAATGTTATGTTAGATTTACAAGAATACCTGTAGTTATTTGGATACTCGCCATGACTAATTCACAAAGTTCCGTATATAGAGATGTTTTAATTCTTTGTGTTTATATCACCCTGATCGAATCATACACATTTGTCTTTGAAATGAGAAAGCATTCATCTGTATAGAGACTCGAGTCTAGGCATGAACTTCCATGCCTTGTTATTGTATATAGCAAGTATCACATTTCCGTCAAAATAGTACACATTGCACATTCCTATTTATGGCAATTTAAGACTTATCTGTAGATCAATGTTCAGATGCATTTTTAATTTTTAAATCAGTTGGATTAATGTAATTCGAGCACAGGAAGAAACTATATAATTTTATTATTTTAATTATGTCTTTTTATGCTTCAGGATCAACGAGTCTGAGACGGTATCTGAGTTTGAATTAAACAACAAGAGTTATCCCCCTTTGTTGTTCTCTCGAGTGAAAAGCTACAATGCTATCTTTGAACCCCTGAAATAGACAAGATTTTACTGCTAGAAGAGGATAAGGATACACTTTTGCTAGACAACTGGTATGATAGAAATCCTGGTGGAAAATTTGTTTATGAATGCAGGATGGTGACATCAAGAAAGCATTCAGCCATTGGTCAAGGAACTGTTAACATCTTGATGGCTGACTGAGAACTGTTATGTTATGTGGTTTTTTTTTAGGAAAAAAAATAACATTTCTGCAGTGTTTTTATTTTAATGTATTATTCTTGCTTCCATAGGTATTCATAAAAGAATGAACCTACCATTATCACTAACTTATGCAAATGATCTAGGATTGTTACTGAGTGATTCAGTTTTTGTTGTTATAAGAAAGCTCTACTTACACAACAACAATGAAAATGAATTTTATTTTATTTTGTTTTATTAGATGATGGTGGTCAATTCAAATCGCCCTACATCCGTGGTCCATCATCCATCCGTCCATAAACAGTTTTTGTTATCGCTATTTCTTGAGAAGTACTTGATGGATCTTTCTCAAATTTCATTTGTAGATTTCCCTTCATCCTTAGTTATGCCCTTTTAGTTTTGGGACTGATCAGATAAACAAAATGGCCGACAGACAGCCATCTTGAATTTTTTCAATGAGGTTTGTTATTGCTAAAAAAGTATGAGATGGATCTCTCTCAAATTTCATATGTAGGCTCCCCTTGGTCTCTAGTTGTGCAAGTTTGCAAGTTTGTTATTACTATGCCTTGAGAAGAACAGCATTGCCCTTTCTCAAATTTCATGTGAATGTTTCACCTGATCCCTTATTGTGACCATTTGATTTTGGGTCGCATCGGAAAAAGAAAACGTCCGACAGGTGGCAATGTTGGATTTTGACTTCGAAAGGTTGTTATGGCAGTTTCTAGAGAACTACAACATATATCGTTTTAATTTGGTACTGATCAGAAAAAGAAAATCGCCTACAGGCATCCATCTTGGATTTTGACTTCGGAAGTCTGTTATTACTATTTTTTAAGCAATATAGCATAGATCTTTCTCAAATTTTATGTATCGGTTCCTCTTTGTCCTGAGTTGTGCTTGTTAAAGTTTGGGACTGATCAGAAAAACATAATGGCTGATAGGCAGCTATCTTGGATTTCGCCTAGTAAAAATTGTTTACCTACTTAAGGAGTACTGAATGCATCATATGTAAGTTTCCTTTTGTCTCTACTTGTGCTGGTTGGATTTTGGGACTGATCAGAAGAAACAAAATGGCTTCCAGGTGACCATTTTGGATTTGGCAGGTAAAGATTATCATGGCTTTTTCTGAAAAGGAATGTTCAAAGTTCCTGTCATGAAGAGCAAATACAGAGAAGAGAAAAGAAAAAAGGGAGTAGCTCCAACTTTCAAACAGCAGTGGGCGCCAAGGTCCTTTTGGGATTGCTTGTTTGAAATATCACATTCAGCGGGGAAAAAAATGCTTTTTACTTTTTAGTTTCTATCTTGCCTGAGACTTCCATGTTTTGTATTTTGATGCATTTATCCAAAAGCGTATATCAAATTTTAATCAAAGTATAAAGCTATATCACACAAAGCTCAACCTGTCTATTAGAACAAAACATTATACTGTCCAAAGAAATTCAGTATGCTGAGAAGTAGAACATTTTTACAGTGTTGTGTTTATTCAGTTTCTCATAAAGATACTCTATTATAAATATAATATAGTTTAGGCATCTAAAGCTACCAGATAGATTACTGGCGTTTAATTCTTTGTGGTGTATTTTTTGGACAGACTTTATGGCTTGCTCTTTTTATTTCACATTTAGTTTATGGTTATTTTGAAGCAAGTGCTATCAAATATCTCCCTCCTCAAGAAGATGGATATTTTTGGGGTAAAAATATAATCTTTTGGGTAATAAGAATTAAGAATTGAGAATTAAAACATTTACAAATTTTCAAATCACATTCTACTATGCACCAATATTTAAACTTAACAACCAGACATTATATTCTATTATTTAATATGTATCATTTTGATATTTTTTGAGGGGATTTGCAGTTTGCTAAAAGAACTGATTATACATACAAAGTAGTATGAGTAAGACGTTGACATTAATTATGTGAATTTTTGTACTTATTAGTGATAGATGTATTGAAATAAACATGATGCATTGTACATGAATAGAGGGTGATGGAATCTGGCATTTGATAACTAATAAAACATAACAGGGTTGTGTGTCTACACCTAAACTTCACCTTTAAAGGTCGTCTGTATTGACAAAAGTTTATTTTTCACTAATAACATGTAGAAAAGGTCTTAAGAAAGTGAATGGTGTGTTATAATGTGAAATAGTTATTTTTACCTGCTTAACCTTGGATAAGGTAACATATTATATATAATAAGATAAGAGTTATCTCCCTTCAGAGAATCAATGATTTTTATTGGTTGTTCATTTTTTATGTTATTTATTAAGGTTACGTGGCCTGTGTACTCTAAATTGTTCATATTTAATGAAATAAGAACCGTAAAACAAATTGACCTTTCCAGTTTGAGTGTCTGTAGCTTAACGATGTCCAGTTATGTTGAAACAAGCAGCAAATTGTATTGTGTCTTCGCTGGCGCTGACAAATGCAAGCACACTTATGCATGTAGTCTGTAGATGAATGGTGAGGCAAATTTAAGCTATCTTAACTTCTACTTGTAAACTACAAATAAATGGTAACTGGTATAGATGTAGGTAATGTCATTCTGTATTACTTTTGGTTTTCATGCCTGTTACTGGTAAATTCCACACAGAATTTTTTTTACGAAAGTGACGATCATAAAACCAAGAAAAGTATAGCATGATAGTTGTCTTCAGGACAGGTGTCGCGATAATGCCAGTATTTTATAGATAATTTAAGCCATGAAATAAACAAAGATTAATTATATTATTAGGCAGCAAAAACAAGCTGGGGATAACGAAATAGGATATACTCAGCTTATTGTAATACATAAAAATGCACAGAAAAACACATTTAATAATCGTGCAACTGAGACATAATTAGACCCCTCTGTGGTCACCTACATATTAATATAGGACCCATTTTTCTCAAAGATACCAATTAAAAATACTACATATTGTATTATATTTAGTTATGGTATATGATAAAGTGTGACACCATATTTTTTTAGATACAGGTATAGGATATGAGAACATCAACACATTCACATTGCATATGACTATATCACTAGCTCTGTAATTATTTAACCAACAAAAAGTAAAATTGTCTATTTCAAAAATCCATCAGTTTCACATATGAGTGCAGGTTTTCATTGTGGTGCATATAACTTAGAAATAATAGACTCTTATCTGGGAAACCAGAACCTAGATTGATGGATGAGCACTTACCTTCAATAAAGTGGTAACAGATTTTTAAAATCGGCAAGTAGAGCACTTGATGCTATTATTGGAAAAAATGTATCTTTAGTAGGAACTGTAGTGTTATATATTCACCAATCTATATAACACAGCTGTGGAGCCAGTTCTGTTTTACAGATTTCTGATTTTATCAACACTGTTAAAAAAAAGCTTCAAGATACTACCAATTGGTTGGAAAGCTTACACTAAACAAGGACATGTTTCATTGTGAATGTGTTTAGTTCTCTGGTCACTTCACTCAATGAGCATGGAAGGGTCTTAAGATGTTTACCAAAATTGTAAATTTTATGACTCAAGGATTTCCCATTTTCCCTGTGGGACAGGGAAAATTTACTATAATCTATGTAGGAAAATTTCATTTTTATGCATAATTTTTTAATTTCCATTGGGTATACTGAAATCTATATGTTTTCCAATTATCTTTAATGACAGATACAAATTGAGAAGAGTCCATCCCCTGTGTTGCTTGGTTTTGAAAAACTTTCCACATTGTTTTGATTTAAGACACTTGCATTAGATTTATGATGCCTCTGGTCAATGCAATGCACCATGACTGCAGCTGAAATAATATTTATTATGAAACTGTCGTATTTTATATTCCTGTATATTATTGTTTACACCATCCAGGCTGGCGAATCTGCAATACAAGCAGAAATGACATCACAAATTTTGAATGCTGGAGATCTAAGAAAATTCAAAATATCATTGTGGCTGTCTTTTTTTAAAGTGTTAAAACTTGAATATCTAATTCATACATGTTTGAAATCATGTCATAATTTTGCCTTTGAAAACCTGAAATTACAATGTAAACAATGTCATTCAAAAATCTTACAACAAAAAAGAGAAAAGATAGACACTGAAGTTTTGTATAATGGGTGTATTGACAGACAAGGAAAGTAACTTTAATATATGGTGAAGTGTAGAAATAGTCGTCAGACTTAAAGTTATTTTTTGCCAGATTCCGTTTTTTCTTTTGACATTTTTGTAGATCTCAAAATAGTTTTTAGTTCATAAGGCCCTATGACCAAGTGAGCTGATGGCATGAAGTGTTGTCTGTTATCTGTTCATCGTCATATTTTGATGTGTTGTTGCAGCATCTATCATCCGTCTGTCATCTGTCGTCTGTCTGTGCATCCTTGGGGGCAGGGGAACCAGCTTTGTATAAATATTGGCTTTTGGCCCTGAGGGGCCTGTATAAATGAATAGATATTGCCCGAATTTTGTCTGAAGTTTTCTTATGTAAAAGAGAATTAACCCTCTATAGATGTTAAGTCTCAGTCCACAAGGGCAGAAAGGGTGAGGCCCAATAGGGGAAACAGAGAAAAATCTGTAAAATCCTACTCCTCCTGACCCAAATTTGGTCTGAAGTATTCTTGTATGAAGGTGTATCAAACTTATGTAAGTGTTAATTCTCAGTCCCCTGGGGTGGGAGGGATGAAATAGAGTAAATTCTTTAACAATATTACCTCTCCAGCAGAAATGATTGGAATTCGCCCAAATGTTGTCCGAAGCATTCTTGGGCAAAGGGGAATCAATTTTGTGTAGATGGTGGGTATTGGTCTCCCTGTGGCAGTAAACAGAGGAAGTAGATACAGGTGTTTTAAATACTTTTCCTTTAGTTTAAAGCAACCAGGTAAGAGATATAGGCCCTATGGGCCTCTTGTTTCTCTATAAATTACTCTTAGTCATTAGCAAGTGATTGTGACCATGAAATTATGAAGCATCCTTAGGGAATGAGGAATCTAATTTGTGTAAAGGATCAAATCTAGGCTCCCAAGTGGTGGGGGTAAATGGAAGAGAAATTTAGATTTTTTTACCATCCTTTTTGCTTTCAGTATAATAAAATTTTGTCCAAATACCCCATGAGCATCATTGAATCAACATCTGTATAAACTGTGGGTCTGAACTGCCCCTGTTCATCAACAATTATCAGATATTTGGAATAAATTATGAACGAATTTGAATAGATAATTTCTTTGTTTCCATCAAATAACTGAAGTTTATAATGTAAATCTATATAAAGATATCTCTGATTGGTTGATTATTGGTCAAAATCTGTGAACATTTGTGAGGGGACTTTCGAATATATCAAGTTGAAGTTCTCCTCCTTTTCATAAAATAAATGTAATTTTCACTGTTTAAATTTAAATGGTATTTTGTATTGTTTTTATATCAATGGAATATCAAATTAATTCAGTATTGGCAAAAATATTTCAATTGAGAGCTAAAGGACTTTAAAATGCCAATAATAATAATTAACTGAGTGAAAACATTTAGTCCCCACACCCCACTTTTATGCTTTCGTTGTATGTCATTGTTCTTAATTCGTACAGTGTGACCCATAGTCTACACATAGTCTTTCACAATTAAATTTCTAATTAATTGCCGTTTCTTGAGAAGTGAAAGATAAACCATTCTCATATTTCACATGTAGGTTCCTCTTAGTTCTTAGTTGTGTTTTGTCTTGTTATGAACTTATCAGGAAAACAAAATGGCCACTTGGTGGATCATATTTTATTTTGACAATTATAGTTCTAATTCTTGCTAATTAATTTATGCATCATATTCTTAGATTACCATATATAGGTTTCCTTTGGTCCCTTGTTGGATATCAGTCAGAATAAGGGACAGGTGACTATCAAGAATTTTGACAGTAATATTTGTTATTTCTATATATTGTTAATCATTGTTATCATATGATTAATTCACCTGTCGAAACAACAATTCAGTTACAACATAAAACGTCTGACGTAGTTTATATCAAATTATATGAAAACAATTTTTTATAAGGAGTATATATATATATATATATATTGTTTTTTGTAAAGCTGGTAGAAATTATTTAAAACTTATTCCTGGATTTTATAGAATCATGATGTGTATCCCTTTTTAGGTCATCCGAGATCGAGTCTCATGGTGACCTTGGGATGACTTATTGCAATTTCTTTTTGTCTTTGGTCATGCTTCATAAACTTTTTAGGTCATCTTTGGGTCTGATGACCTACATCATCATGTTTAATCCATCGCCATGCGACGTGCATCATGTGTAAATTTTTTTTTTAAACCCTACTCCTCTTTCATACCTGGATGGATTTCTGCTAAATTTGGTCTGATGCATCATTGGGTGTGAGGGTAATCATTTCTTAAATTCAGATTTTCGACCAATTCCTAATGATCAAGGGATGAGGCCCGAAAGGAAGAGGTGCTGAAATTAGATTTAAAATCCTACTCCTCCTTTCTGCCTGGGTGGATTTAAACTAGCTTTTGTTTGATTCATCAGTTAGGGTAGGCAATTATTTTTTAAATTTAGAAATTTGATTTGACCCCAAGGGACTTGGGGGCAGGGCCCCAAAAGGGAAAATCAGACAATGTTATGCTTCAAAACACTACTCCTTTTTAATGCTTGAATGGATTTTATCCAAATTTGATCTGAATCATCACTGAGAGTGGGGAATCATTCCTTAAATTAAGAAATTCGATTTGACCCCTAGTGTAATTTTAAAAAGATTTTATCTCAATACCCAGATAAAGTAGAAACAAATAGCCATCTTGGATGGTGCTTTACCGAAAATTGTAAATTTCATGACCCCAGGGCCTCACATTTCCCCTTGGGGAGGGGGTAAAATTTACTGTCGTTTGTATAGTTAACATTTTTTAATGTAATTTCTTTTTTATTTAAAATTTGGTTAGAAGCCTTAGATTGCACAGCAGTTAATCTTATGCGCAGTGTACATTTGCATTTAGTGTACAATGTAGTTATAATTATCTTTCTTTTTTATCAAAATCATTTCTTTGACATGTTTCAAAAAGCCTTGTAACTCAGGTGACAGCTAAGGCTCTTGTTTTTATCATAATATGGTTTTGTTTTATTGTGTTATTCTGTTTTGTTAACCCTTTCTAACCGAGTTATAAACACACTATCCCATGGCCACACTGGACAGACTTGTACCTTTATGCTAATTAGAAATTTGCTAATGGATTAATTAAGATTTATTGTTTTCTTACAAAAGGCCAGGATTACCATGATGACATTTTTATTAAGAGAGATAAATCCTTTTTTACAGTGGTCAGGAATACACAAATTATTTTTTGTCTTGTGTTTTAAGCCTTGTATACAATACTGGTTTTACTAGCTTTTTGGGGAATTGAAACAATTTTGAAATTATTTCCAGAAAATATCTCTGAGAAGAAGAAAAAAAACAAATGAAAAAAAAAAATTAAAGACTGGTACATGATAAGCTTGGTCAATCTGGGAATCAGATTTTCAATTTGACAGTTGCACAGATGTGAAATTATGATGTCATCTTATGTTGAAAAATCTTTGCATAACTAATGAATGGGTAAGCAACATCCAAGCCATATAAAGGATTAATAAGTTGACAGTCTGTAGCAATTGTAAGTCAATGTTTGTGTAGATGAAATTACAACTTCACATAAATCTCAGCAGATGAAGATAATTTGTTTGAATATAAATTTTGTATGGGTATGATATTGAGTAAAATCATTTAATGTTTTGATATAATTTCTGTCTTTTTTCATAACCTTTTTGTCTTCTTTGTTACCTTACCTTTGGTCTTATATAGCTGTAAACCCATGGCACATTGTCAACCACAATTACAGATGTTTTGCTCCAAAATGGTTTCGCCCTAACCTTTGGATGGAGGGCTACCAAGTTTGATGATATGAATGACCTTGATCCACTTTCAAGATCAGAGGGGTCAAATGTGTTGAAATATTTAAATAAGTTCTTTTCATTACCAAAAGGTCCATGGTGCCGATATTGGCCGTCGCATGCTGGAATGAAGGGTTACCATGTTTGTTCATATGATTGACCCTAACTCACTTCAAGGTCACAGGTGTCAAATATGTCAAAATCTTTAAACAAATTTTTCTCATTATTCAAAGGTCCCAGGGTGCTGATATTGCGCACAATTTTCAATTTCTCCTGCAGGAGTAGTAGGATTTTAAGGAAATATTGGGCCTGGCCATTTTCTAATGTTTATTACAAGTTTGATCTTTATTCACCCAAAATTGACTGAATTAGGGCAACAGTCATTCATTCCTATAAGAGAAATGGGATTTTAAAGCATTGGTTCTATTTCCCCAATTGCACCAAGGGGTAAGACAAAATAAGATTGATACAAAATTGGTTACAGAACTAATTGTTATTTTGATATTTTTTTTAATCACATTTGTATTAACTCAATCACCTCCCAGGCATAAACAATTAGGCCCTTAGGACACCTATCATATTTTCGTACTTTTAATTTCTGGGTAGATAATTCTTAAAAATGAATTTATTTTTTGAGTAATAGTAAAGAGAAAGGTTCAACTGACAAAGAAGCAATGATTTGAAATCATTGATGGTGAGTGCCTTGTCTGGGATCTCTTGTTTAGATCTGTGATTATACATCTGATTTACCATGTAGTATACTTGGGTGGGCAAAAAGGGTAAAATTGACTTCAATTTCAAAAATCTTCTTCTCAAGACCCGGATATGGTAGAATCAAATGTTCTGTATGAATGGAAGCATCTTCTATTGCTTTAATTAACGAAATGGAGGAAGGTTTTTAATACTTTACTGTAATTTTCATAGAAAAATTGTGTTTTTGAGCATAACAGTGGTTGTTTCCCAATGGAGACAACTTTGTAAGAATCATTAGTATAGGTTTACACTTTTGATGATATGTATGTATTGACACTGGCTTACTATCAACAATGTCACAGTTTCTGTTTCATGACACTTGATAACTCCCCTTTAATCTTTAAACAATATTGCTTATCTCAGGTGAACATCATGACTGCTAGGCATCTTTTGTTATTACACATCTGAACCGTGATAAAAACAAACACAGATACATTTGGGCAGATTTTTTTATTTTACATAACTTTTGTCTTTGCTGTATCTGATAAAAAGCCTTAATTAATAAATCTAACAATTTTCAATGAATAATGATAACAAAAATTAAGTACTTATGACACCAGTAATGAAAGCACAACATTCAAATGTATGTTTTATAATATAATAATAAAACATAAACAATCAATCTATCAAGCGTCATAAAAAAAACGAAATTTATTCCGACAGTGATAAGGATCTACATAAGATGACTTTCATTGGACACCTGGATATCTTATAATAATCTTTATTCCAAACATACATGATAATGATATTTGAAAAAAAAACTACACACACATACAAACCAGGGATTAAAAATCAGAATGAAAATTGATGGCTAACAACTCTGTATTAAAATTAAACATATAATTGAGTAGAATTCCTAACTGCTTTTTAAAACATAGATCACTGCATAACAATTCAAGAACAGTTTGGTACAAACTTTTAATTCAACTTGTACAATCTTATAAACAAGATTTAACAAATGACTAGAGTCAGATAAATATCTTTAAAAGAAAAAATGCAAACATAATATCATGTAAGTCATGGGCAAGTTTCTTAAAATAAAAATGCTATATACTTACTGCTGAAGTACTTGCTTCAAAATCAAACTGTCAGTCATATGGTTTAAATGAGGAAATGGCTTCAAATCAGCCCATAACATGAACGATGAACTATTCACATTGAGTAATGAAAATATTGTTAAGGACAGGAGAAAATATATTTTTAAATATCTTAAGAAAACTGATAACAATTCTGAAAGTTAACCACAGATTTCTCAATGACAATATGACCAAAATGAACACCATCTAGCTTTAATGCTCGGTTTTCCTTCAGAACTAGACTTTAAGATTGGCTCCCCAAAGTTTGAAACTAAGTGATCATGGCATCAGGTTTTACCATTAACAGATGACCATATAAGCATTTAATAGATATCTGAACATCATATAAACACCATCTGCACGTGTTGTTTCTTCACCATTTGGCAAAGATATCTTAAAAACTGAAATCTGATCAGCATGAAAGAATTCACAAATTTTTTTTTTCAAATTTATGTACCGAAACATTATACCAGAATATATCATTAGTCCCAGAGAAACCTACAACTGGATAAAACGGGACTATTCAACAAAGATTTCAAAATCTAAACAGCCCATAATTGCACATACCACAATACAATCCTCAATTTTGGTAAGCGTTTATTGATTTCAATATATCGTAATATACAAACCCATTTGTAATGAATGAACGTTACCGCTGTAAGATAATTCTAACATTTGATCACCAATTCAACACAGCAGTTGAGAAGTCAGATATGCCACTTCTGAAGATACTTCTAACAGACGTCAAAACACCAAAAGTAATTTGGTTTCAACTTAAGCCAGGCTTTTCATATTATATTTTGGTTTTAAAATGGACACGAAAGAAATTATCTGACAAATACATCCGTGACAGGTTTAGAATTTTTTAAACTCAAATTCCAAATAAGGCTTAAATCATTTCACCATGAATTTTAATTGTTTGTGCATACTGATACAAATTCCATAGCTGCCTTCTAACCCTAAAACATCCTGTCAGAATTATTCAGCATCAGCCTTTATACTAACTGCGTACAATTCCTTCAAGTCATTTCTCGAGAAAGCATTCAGAGACAACTTTGGGTACCATCCAGCGGTGAAAAACCATGGTGAATATGCCTTCTTTGACCATTCCTCCTTCAGGGTTTCCGTTCCCTCTTCACTCATCTGGGTCAGAAACTAGAACTCTATACTGAGTACGTCTCTCATCTGGGTCAGAAACTAGAACTCTATACTGAGTACTTCACTCATCTGGGTCAGAAACTAGAACTCTATACTGAGTACGTCTCTCATCTGGGTCAGAAACTAGAACTCTATACTGAGTACTTCACTCATCTGGGTCAGAAACTAGAACTCTATACTGAGTACTTCACTCATCTGGGTCAGAAACTAGAACTCTATACTGAGTACTTCACTCATCTGGGTCAGAAACTAGAACTCTATACTGAGTACTTCACTCATCTGGGTCAGAAACTAGAACTCTATACTGAGTACTTCACTCATCTGGGTCAGAAACTAGAACTCTATACTGAGTACTTCACTCATCTGGGTCAGAAACTAGAACTCTATACTGAGTACGTCTCTCATCTGGGTCAGAAACTAGAACTCTATACTGAGTACTTCACTCATCTGGGTCAGAAACTAGAACTCTATACTGAGTACTTCACTCATCTGGGTCAGAAACTAGAACTCTATACTGAGTACTTCACTCATCTGGGTCAGAAACTAGAACTCTATACTGAGTACTTCACTCATCTGGGTCAGAAACTAGAACTCAAAACGGAGTACTTCACACATCTGGGTCAGAAACTAGAACTCTATACTGAGTACTTCACTCATCTGGGTCAGAAACTAGAACTCTATACTGAGTACTTCACTCATCTGGGTCAGAAACTAGAACTCTATACGGAGTACTTCACTCATCTGGGTCAGAAACTAGAACTCTATACTGAGTACTTCACTCATCTGGGTCAGAAACTATAACTCTATACTAAGTAATTGGACTGCATTTGGTGCAATGCCTTTCAAGGAAACTGGTACACTATGAAATGCTCATTGAGGACTTAAGCAGAAGTACTGGTCTATTTTCAATTTTAAATGTCAAAAGTATATGTCCTAAAGTGATCAGAGATCTTTAGAATGTTTGGTGTGGCCCTCTGAGACATGCAAGATACCACCCCAACCTGCAGCTATGCCCCACAAGAAGCTGCCCCTGACAGTAGTGAAATACAGTAAGGATTTTCTTTCTTTTTTCTTCCTCCATCTCCTGCAAGGTTATTCTTTTATTATAGGCCCAACTTTGCAAGAGCAAGCCACTGCAGTAACATTGGTCCCCAATTTGAAACACTGCTTTAATTGGTATCTACTGAAGTCAGAATGTCAAACTAGATTTTTCACCCAACATACCTTTCTTTAAACAGAAATATTCAGCCCAAAAAACAGGTTGTAAATTTCATACATATCACTAAAGTTATCTTTTCTTTGTACATCCAAGACACAGAAGAGAACAATGCAATTTGTAACAAGAGGCACACAGTGCCTGCATCACTCAACTGAATCTTGAAGCCCAGCAATGGTAGACATATCTATAGGTTTGGGTTTTCAAATGTTTCCAAATAACAGCTCAGACGCTTAAACTCTTTGATAGAAAAAGAGCAATGATTAAATTCTTATATCATGATAAAGGTCTTCGTCTATTGACGCTCAGTAAAAGTTTATATGGTCATCAGATTGGTATCTCAACTATGTCAAAAACATGACCCAGAACTTAGGTCCTTAGAGGTAGGCCACAACAGGGAGTCAATTCTTACATCACAAATTTGTTTATCTCTTATAGCCCAGCAATTATATATATAACTATAGGGTGGTGGTTCAAACTGTTTCAAAGATGTAACCCAGAAATTAAGTACAGAGGGGTGGGGCCACACCCAAGGGCCAGTACTTATATCGTAAATTCCTAATATCTCTTAATCCCCTGCATTTTTAAATATGGTTTAGAAGTCAGGATCTCAATGTTTAAAAGATATTAATAGAAACTGGGGTAGGGGGCCAGACCCCACGGCCAATTCTCACATTATGGTTGTGTTTTTCTCTTGATGCCTAGTAATACAATATATGGTTATTGCTTGGGGATCTTATCAATTTCCAAAGTTTGAATCCACAAATTGAGTTCAGAGGGGTGGAGCCACACCCAAGCGCCAGTTTTTTTTTTTTTTTCTTTTGAGGTGGGTGGAGGAGTGGGGGGTGGGAGCTGTTGTGCTGAATCCTTCTCTAACTTTATATGGAAGTGGTCAGTTACCCAAAAGTCAATAGGAGAGAGAATTACTCAATGTTGTAGTGTTTAATCAAATATCAGTCTATAGCTGTATATAAGTAGTGAAGTTAACAGTAATAAACCATCTTAAGATACCAACAATAACATCTACATCAGGTAAACAAAACACAAAGTCGTTCCAAGGTCCGGTTATTAGTAAATGACAATTCCTTTTTCTCAGGAAAGGAAATATGGGAATGATTGAACAAATGTTTCAGCTAAACATCCTGTTTTAATGTGAAATGTTTTCACTGCGATCACTGAAAAAACGATTGATAGAATTAGCATAATTAAGATATTTCTTTAATAAAATTTTGAAAACAAATATAACAAAGACATACCCGCTATTTATGAATTAATATAAAAAATATCACAATAATGAATCTGACTTATCATTCCGAACTGGAATAAACAAACCTACCAGCTGATAATATATATGAACAAACAGTTGGTACAAAGTCCTCAACATCATACATTCCTTCTGCCAACAAATATTTTTTTCAATAAAAATTCACAATTATGTATCACTCCATGACTTTTGCATACATGAATTCAGAACATGTCTTACCTGTTCAACCTAATCAAAGTAATGGACAGGTTGCTTTATGAATTATGGAATGCACCATTTTTAATTTAAAGGGTAAACATGCCAAGGATAACATTTTCTAAGGGACTACTACCTGTATCAAACAAACACATTTCTACAAGTGTCCTTGTTGGAGTTGAAGCAAACTTTACAATGCAGCAAGACTAATTTGTAACATGAATAATATAAAGATGGATAGTTCACTCTTGTGTTACAAAAACAGGAAATACATTTATATCTTTTGTAACACTTTCTAGGAAATATAAATATGAACAACTCATCATAATGTGTAGCCAATGTTCAACATTTAACTTGGAAGATTCTTGATCTTCAGATAATCAATCGTTAAGTTTTACAGTTATCATAATAGTGAGAAACTTATTTGTATCCATGGATTTCTGGACTTTTATCAACTCTCCCAAGTGAAATAGGAAAAAAATTCTTCTCTTTAAGAAAGTTTTGTAAAACTTTGTTTTATTACTGGCATAATATTCCATGAATTTTTTTAAGTTGAATAAGTGCTTGAACAGAGAAGGTGTTGAGAATCAATGTCTTCTCAATATAAACAACAAAGTTCCAACCTTGTATAAGGCGTACATCAAACTTCCAGTCTTGTATAAGGCGTACAACAAAGTTCCAGCCTTGTATAAGGTGTACAACAAAGTTCCAGCCTTGTATAAGGCGTACATCAAAGTTCCAGCCTTGTATAAGGTGTACATCAAAGTTCCAGCCTTGTATAAGGTGTACATCAAAGTTCCAGCCTTGTACATGTCATACATCAAAGTTCCAACCTTGTATAAGGCGTACATCAAAGTTCCAGCCTTGTATAAGGTGTACATCAAAGTTCCAACCTTGTATAAGGTGTACATCAAAGTTCCAGCCTTGTATAAGGCCTATATCAAAGTTCCAGCCTTGTACATGGCATACATCAAAGTTCCAACCTTGTATAAGGCGTACATCAAAGGTCCAGCCTTGTATAAGGTGTACATCAAAGTTCCAACCTTGTATAAGGTGTACATCAAAGTTCCAACCTTGTATAAGGTGTACATCAAAGTTCCAGCCTTGTACATGGCATACATCAAAGTTCCAGCCTTGTATAAGGCGTACATCATAGTTCTAGCCTTGTATAAGGCGTACATCAAAGTTCCAACCTTGTACATGGCATACATCAAAGTTCCAACCTTGTATAAGGTGTACATCAAAGTTCCAACTTTGTATAAGGTGTACATCAAAGTTCCAGCCTTGTACATGGCATACATCAAAGTTCCAGCCTTGTACATGGCGTACATCAAAGGTCCAGCCTTGTATAAGGCGTACATCAAAGGTCCAGCCTTGTATAAGGCGTACATCAAAGTTCTAGCCTTGTATAAGGTGTACATCAAAGTTCCAACCTTGTATAAGGCGTACATCAAAGGTCCAGCCTTGTATAAGGCCTATATCAAAGTTCCAGCCTTGTATAAGGCCTACATCAAAGTTCCAACCTTGTACATGGCATACATCAAAGTTCCAACCTTGTATAAGATGTACATCAAAGTTCCAACCTTGTATAAGGTGTACATCAAAATTCCAGCCTTGTGCATGGTGTACATCAAAGTTCCAGCCTTGTGCATGGCATACATCATAGTTCTAGCTGTTTATATGGCATACAGCAGACCTACATAAGTATGCAGATATATTATCCTTATTTCTTTCTGAAATTTGAAATGATTATCCGAATGCCCTTGCAACTTTGTGCTTTCATTCAGCATGCAAATATCATAACACGATGATGAATAATTCATATCATCTTCATTTTCAAATATTTCACAATTCAAGTATACGTAAACATCCTAGAATCAGACTCCATGATCTTATCAGACTGTGATTTATATAGAAATATGATTACACATCAAACATGTTTGTTGTATTACTACCTAATTACTCTTACATAGATCACAAAAAATTAACTAAAATAAATGCATTTGCAACTGCAAATGAAAAGTGCATTTCCATATTGAAATCAGAGGAAAAATTAACACATTTGTATGTGCAGTGTAGAGCTCATCACAGTTATAAAAAACAAGGTTATTTTTGAGACAAAATGTGTCTTATGCTGACGATCTTGGTCTTGATTAAAGTGACAGTAATTCTCTTATTTCCACAGTTCAAACATTACGCTACCATGCAGCAGGTAGATACTTAGAACAGCGTTTGAGCACACTTTACTCTTGCTTTCTTGGTCAACATATATACAATGTACACAGGTGTATTTCAAAACTTTTATCAATTCAATTTTACATTCAGGCATGGTTTTATCTTTTTTTTATTATCAAATTTGAACAAAAACACTGTTCTCTTCGACATTTACCCTGTCTATTTGAAAATGTAACACCAAAGTCTGACCTTGTGCACATCTATCTCACTGTTATTGTCATTCACACCAAAGACTTCAAGCAATAGACACAACCTTCGAAAAAACACGCTTCTTCCAAATAAGAATTACAAAAGTGCTGAGCCTTGAAAATTCTTTAAAATTGTCCATTTAGAATGAATCTAATAATCGATGACCTTGACATTCTAATAATTAAGTCCTTAAAATCTAACTTGAAATTTCTAGCAAGCATTGCATCTGTGTGCAAAGAAGGGAGGTTTGAAAATTACATACAAACAGACAGCATATTAACTCCCATTTGATTTGATATTAAAAGGGAATTCTAATCCAATCATAATCCCTGTTACTCAGCTATAGGTAAACAAGGATCTCCACAAATGATGATAATTATTACAACGGTAGATTAACTGTGGTATAAAAAAAGGCAATTAATTTTGATATATAATAAATGGTATCAATAAACATGGAACATCCTAAACATACCAAGTTCAATTCTCTTCAGGCAAAATTGTTACAACTGCTGGTCTTTCAGTTCAATGACTGGAATGATTGAGTAACAATTCTCATAATTTCTGTATTCAAAAATGTCTGAGATAGTAGCTTAAACCAAGGCCATCCTACTAATAAGAATTTAAAGCTTAAATGTTCACAATCTATGTTAATGCATGACATAATGAATTGTATGACAGTATGAAAATGGACACTACAAATGTTTCTCACAAGTATGAAATACTGTATTTTCTTTGTTTCATTTCAAGGAATATGTTTCCTAACTATGTCACTAACCATCCACGGAGTGGTCATTGTTCTCTATGTATGCATCAAATGTTTGTTATGGAATTCCATATCTATAAATTGTTTTCCTAATATTAATTGACACCTCTATGTTAATACAATGTGCTATGTCCTCGGACTGCTGTTATTGTAGCCACTATCCAGCGATGTAGTTGAGCCTTTGCGGGAATGACCAAGTGTGGAAGTGGACGAGTGATGACCCACCAATGAGTTACTTGTAAATAATTTGTACCAACCAATCACAATGTTTGTTAGATCCAGATGGTCCAATAGAATCTGTGCTACTCCCATGAACACTTTTCTGTCCATTCGTCCGTAATCACCCCATACTGTTACCTGTTAAACAATAATTAGGGTGATGGTTCATCAGTAAACAATAATAGTAACAGTAATAAGCATCACCTTGTAACATTTTACTGCAAATATAATGCATAAGAGTTCCTACATTGTAAAAACAGTTGCATATCTAGATAATTTTTCCCGTCAGTATTACAAACTTCATAAAAATCATAACCTGATTGACAAAGATATGTTGAGCCTTCATACAAGTTTGGATGTTGCGGAATGTAACATCTGAACTAGACCAGAGGGATTTTGGCACCCACCAATGTTTGATCTTTATTTGCTATTTGAAAGTTGTTTATTTTCCCTTCTTTTCTCCTCTCTTCTTTGTTTCTGCTTGTAATAATAAGAAATTTGAACATTCCTTTGCAAAAATAGCAATGATAATCTTTACCTGCCAATCCAAGATGGTTGCCTGACAGCCATTTTGTTTTTTTTTTGTTTTTTTTTATCAGTCCAAAATTCAAATGGGCACAAGTAGAAATCAAAGAGAACATACATATTAGATTTGAGAGATTCATTCAGTACTACCTAAGAAATAGTGATAACAATTTTAACTAGGCGAAATCAAAGACCCAAAAATTAAATGAGCACAACCAAGGACCAAGGGGAACTACATATTGAATTTAAGAAAGTCACTTTATTTTTCTGATCAGACCTAAAATCAAATAGACACAACTAGGGACAACGAGGAACGTACATATGAAGTTTTAGACTTATCCATCCAATACTTCTCAAGAAATAGTGATAATAAACTTTCAAAGACTAATTCCAAGATGGCCACCTGCCTGCCATTTTATGTTACTGATCAGTCCAAAAATCAAATGGGCACAACTAAGGAACCAAGAGGAACCTATATATCAAATTTAAGGAAGCCATTTTCTTTTTCTGATCATACCCAATATTAAATGGGCACAACTAGGGAAAAAGGGGAACCTACATATGAAATATAGGAGAGAACCATCAACTGGTTCTCAAGAAACCACAATAACAAACTTCAAGTCTAAATGCATAATGTCCACCTGCTGACCATTTTGTTTTTCATATAAGACACAAAATTGAATGGGCACAACTACTAACCAAGGAGAATATACATATGAAATTTAAGAGAGATCCATCACATGCTTTTCAAGAAACAGCAATAACAAACTTCAAAAATCTAAATCCAAGATGGCCACCTGTCGGCCATTATAGTTTTCTGATCAGACCCAAAATCAAATGGGACACTCATGGACTTTTGCTTGACATATTTGACCCCTGTGACCTTGAAAGTTGTTCAAGGTCATTCATTTAAACAAAGAGAAGAACATATTTCATATGAAATCTGAGAAAGATCCATCCAGTTCTTCTAAAGAAATAGCAATATAAATTGTTTTGAGCCAGACAACAAACCATGGATATAGGACAATTTAAATAGCCCAACATCTGATGATAGTGGGATAAAAAAAATCTATTTATTTTTATTGAAATTTTATAGATGTCTTTAATAAGCATTTGTAATTAATAATCAGAGCTTGTAACCTAGATTCAAATCTGTGCTAGGTCCAATTAAGAGCTCTTTTGATGTATGGTGTTTTATTTTTACAAGAATTCAAGAAGGTTGGAAAATAGATATGTTTGAAGATATTGTTCCATAAAGCCTTACCTGGAGTATTTTGCCCCCGTACTGCTCCATAAAGACAAGTTGTTGTTGGTACAGAGGGTCTAGAGTCCGTCTTGCCACCACAGTCTTTTGTTTTTCAACACATGTTTTACCATCTATCAGGTATACCTTGACATATGGAGCTGGGACACAAAAATATCAACAATGATATAATCTGGACCTGAGACATGCTCCTGATGTTGTCTTTAGATAGTTTGTGAAAATGGGATAAAATATTGACATTATCTATGGGTATTTTCTGGAGCTTGGACATTATCTTTGGACCTGGGACATAATGCATACATTATTTAAGTGTATTTTGTGGAGCATGGAAATAATGCTGACATTATCATAGACTTCTTCCGAGAGTCTGGACAAAGTACTGATATTATCATAGGGTTCATGCTGTTGCTGGGACCTAACACTGACATTATCTTAAGGTCTTTACTTGAGCTTGGACATAACATTGACATAATTATAAGGTCCTTTCTGGAGCTGGGACATAACATTGACATAATTATAAGGTCCTTGCTGAGGCTGGGGCATAACATTGACATAATTTATAGGGTCCTTGTTGAAGCTGGGACATAACACTGACATTATCTTAAGGCCTTTACTTGAGCTGGGACATAACATTGACATAATTTATAGGGTCCTTGCTGGAGCTGGGAAAATTTATTCAAGTCCTGTTCAGTTTGATGACATTAGCAATTACACTATAATCTTGACAACAGATTAAAAAGCTGTAGGAAATATCCTAAAGTCACATTTAACTATTCACATGTAAGAATGAAACGTTCAACTATCCATTATGTCAACCTTCACATGATGTATCTGTATCTAACACTACTTCCTGTGATATACCCTATAATGTTTAATTCATTATAACAGATTATTTCATATAATCATCCTTAGTTCCACTAAATGAAATATTCAGTACAGCATTTGGACTACAACAAATGAAAGACATATTTCTACGATAAGATGGAACTGGGTCAACGTTTTTACCTACCTGGTAGGATTTTAGCTCCTGATTTTGCCATTAATTGTCGTGCACGAATGACCTCAACCTCCAAGTGACCTTTCCTATCATAAAGTCCAAGTTGGATTTCACCAAGACATGGTGAGCCCAGAACTTGACGGCCCACCAGCTGTGCAGGACCCAAGCCCTCGATGAATTCTCCAAACTGACCCTCAGGACCGAGGGCAGGATTACCACCTGGGGGCAGCCAGACCCTGTAAAACAGCCTATGATGTAGCTGAATCATTTCTGTACAGTTCCTTACTGTAAGTCGTTACGTAACAAGAGGCCCATAGTGCCTGTATGTACTCGTATAACCCAAGATATCTAGAATATAGGTCAAGGTCAACTATTTGAATATTAAAGAATCAAAATCAACTTCCTGTGATGTCATAATGGTTGATTCCTGGTGGATATAAAAATCCAACTATTCCAGTTTGGACCCAAATATAGTAACAAAGGTTTTTCCATGAAGTCAGACAGCAGACAATATGCCACAATAAAAAAGTTTTTTTTGAAGAAAAAGACAACAGTGAGGCTAAAGAGATTTGTTGATCCGTGACCAGGTTTATCTAATTGCTGAAGAGATTAGTTGATCCTTGACCAAGTTTATCTAAATGCTAAAGAGATTCGTTGATCCGTGACCAGGTTTATCTAATTGCTGAAGAGATTTGTTGATCCTTGACCAGGTTTATCTATCTAATTGCTGAAGAGATTCGTTGATCCATAACCATGTTTATTATGCTGCAATTGTAATTCTAGGAGTTGACCTTTTGACATTGTTCACATGACCTTGACCTGCTGATACTCACACACTGCCGGAATCACTACTGATACTGCCGATACTCCCATCTGTGGAATCTTTACTCGCCTGTTTCACCATTCTACCATATTTTGGTTCCAGGCCATGCCCGACTTCTACACTTCTTTGGAAAGAGTTCTTTTTCTTACCCGCCTCTGTGTCCCATAAGTGAAGTACATCACGATATTGTATAAGACACAATCAACACTATTAAAAAACCCTACAGATCCCTAATTAAACAGTCCAACTGCTGACAACCTAGTGTGCTTAAATTGCCATGAGTGTGAAAGGTAAAACTAAAATTTCACAACTAAATCATCTAATAATAAAAACATATATTTAATGTATTACAAATCACACTTCCATCTCAATTTTGAATACATATTTCATAATTCAAGTTTCATATTTTTCTAAATAGCTTTATTATGGAAAGCTAGTATCATTTAAATACAGGTTTCAATATAGTGTACGGAAACTAAAACAGTTACAGCTGACTTGTCTATCGTCTATTTCAGTACTAACTGACCTGCTAACTGTGAGGCACTATTACTTTTCCATGGAAGGCCTACGAAGGTTGCCATTTTGTGGCCGAGACTAGGTCTCCGTTTGCGACCCTCTGTCACACTGGCACTGAGAGCAGAATCAGACATACTACCATCATTCTTCTCGTAGCTATCACGGCTATCACTGCTAGAACTAGGTGTCACCTGTCGGCGTGGAATGGTAGTCCGAATCCCCATTCTTTGTGAAAATTCACTGTTAACACAGAAACCACACAGAAAATAAGAATGACACAAAATAATTATCCTCTTACCCTGGAAAAGATTTTTAACATTTTTATTGGTGCAATATATCTTCCCACCTAAAGATTGAGAAAATATCCTTGTCATAACTTCACATCAAGAACATCATTTATTGAGTCATTTACCAACTATATAACTTTTGGAGCAAAATAAAGATAAAGAGATCCTTTTGGATGAGATAAGGTTTATCTAATCCACTGTGGTTAGGTAAGAGATTAGTTGATCCTTCCAATTCCACTGTGGTTAAGAGAGGTTGAGCTCTGCCTATGGTTCTGAGATAATGTTGTACAATTCCACTGTGGTTAGGTAAGGTTTAGCTCTGCCTATGGTGAAGAGATAATGTTGTACAATTCCACTGTTTATTATGCTGCAATTGTATGGTCTGAGATAATGTTGTACAATTCCACTGTGGTTAGGTAAGGTTGAGCTCACACTGCCTATGGTCTGAGATAAGGTTGTACAATTCCACTGTGGTTAGGTAAGGTTGAGCTCTGCCTATGGTCTGAGATAATGTTGTACAATTCCACTGTGGTTAGGTAAGGTTGAGCTCTGCCTATGGTCTGAGATAAGGTTGTACAATTCCACTGTGGTTAGGTAGGATTGAGCTCTGCCTATGGTCTGAGATAATGTTGTACAATTCCACTGTGGTTAGGTAAGGTTGAGCTCTGCCTATGGTCTGAGATAATGTTGTACAATTCCACTGTGGTTAATAATAAAAAGCTCTGCATATATTTAATGTTGTACAATTCCACTGTGGTTAGGTAAGGTTGAGCTCTGCCTATGGTCTGAGATAATGTTGTACAATTCCACTGTGGTTAGGTAAAGCTCTGCCTATGGTCTGAGATAAGGTTTACAATTCCACTGTGGTTAGGTAAGGTTACTCTGCCTATGGTCTGAGATAATGTTGTACAATTCCACTGTGGTTAGGTAAGGTTGAGCTCTGCCTATGGTCTGAGATAATGTTGTACAATTCCACTGTGGTTAGGTAAGGTTGAGCTCTGCCTATGGTCTGAGAAGGTTGTACAATTCCACTGTGGTTAGGTAGGATTGGCTATGCCTATGGTCTGAGATAATGTTGTACAATTCCACTGTGGTTAGGTAAGGTTGAGCTCTGCCTATGGTCTGAGATAATGTTGTACAATTCCACTGTGGTTAGGTAAGGTTGAGCTCTGCCTATGGTCTGAGATAATGTTGTACAATTCCACTGTGGTTAGGTAAGGTTGAGCTCTGCCTATGGTCTGAGATAATGTTGTACAATTCCACTGTGGTTAGGTAAGGTTGAGCTCTGCCTATGGTCTGAGATAATGTTGTACAATTCCACTGTGGTTAGGTAAGGTTGAGCTCTGCCTATGGTCTGAGATAAGGTTGTACAATTCCACTGTGGTTAGGTAAGGTTGAGCTCTGCCTATGGTCTGAGATAATGTTGTACAATTCCACTGTGGTTAGGTAAGGTTGAGCTCTGCCTATGGTCTGAGATAATGTTGTACAATTCCACTGTGGTTAGGTAAGGTTGAGCTCTGCCTATGGTCTGAGATAATGTTGTACAATTCCACTGTGGTTAGGTAAGGTTGAGCTCTGCCTATGGTCTGAGATAATGTTGTACAATTCCACTGTGGTTAGGTAAGGTTGAGCTCTGCCTATGGTCTGAGATAATGTTGTACAATTCCACTGTGGTTAGGTAAGGTTGAGCTCTGCCTATGGTCTGAGATAATGTTGTACAATTCCACTGTGGTTAGGTAAGGTTGAGCTCTGCCTATGGTCTGAGATAATGTTGTACAATTCCACTGTGGTTAGGTAAGGTTGAGCTCTGCCTATGGTCTGAGATAAGGTTGAATATTTTTTTGGGGTAAGATAGGGTTGAACACTTCCTTTGAACAAGATAAGGTTGAAAATTCTTTGGGATGAGACCATGTAATTTAGTGCCATTTGCCCTGGAAGCTATGGAAGGTTTCTGTAAAATTTCACTGAAATCGGATCAGGAGTTTTCCAGAAGTCAAAAATGTTAAAAGTTAAGGATGAACTAGACCCAGGAAGTACCCCTTATGAAAAATGAAATATATGGACAAAGTTGAAAGCAACTTTCATCAAAATCCAATGAAAATGGACAGATGGACAGATATATGGATCGACGGACAGGGAAACGCCTAGACAGACAGACGGACAGACGGACAAGGTGATTACTATAGGGCACCCGCATCGTGATGCGGGGCCCTAATAACGCACACTGCACGACACCAGGCAAAAGGGGATTACAATAGGTCACCTTGAGACAATCAGGTGACCTAAACACCCTCTTATAAATTATTCCCTTTTAAGTGTTAAATCTGTGTATTTTAAGAGTTTTGAAATAGACATACCTGAATGTGCGTCGCGGATGATCTGATTGTGTAGACCTCACACTAAGTGTGCTCACTTTGGAAACTTCAGACATATCGCTGGTTTCAGAGGCGTCGCTTCCCATATCATCAACCAGGTCTGGATTAAACTCTGAATACACGAAAAGAATTGCAGAATTTTACGCTTGTGTTTATGCATATACTGGAGATTAGATTAGGAGTTTTGGTTTACCAGACCAATCCTAATCCCATTCGAAAATAATTTGAATTTTAAAGTGACATAATCCTCACAATATCAACAAAACTAAAAAAAAACCAAGAACTGCACAATTTTATTCGAAACGATTCCTCACATGTTCTTATCCAATTAAACGATCCTTTCTGCTATTGATGACGAAGAAGCCCAGCCCACATTTAAGTCAAACAGTCGACAGATTCTTGTCAGGATGTCGGTTGAGGCATTTGCAAAGTCTTAAAATGTTACTCTATCTAAATTGTTTTTTACATCGATTACTAATATACATACCCAAAATTTGTCAAATCTATCTCTGAATGGTAAAAGTACTTATTCACTAAATCAGATTGTTAAAACAACAGACATTGTGGGGAGGAGACAACAAAAAATCATGTCAGGAAACTCATCAGAAGGTGTCAGTGTGTTTCTTTCAAACAGAGATTGGGATTTACATATCATTCTTTACAGAATTATCCAGTAAAGGTAGGAGATAATGTCATGTAATATGATTATTTAGTTGTGATATCATTAACTGAAGTTGATCCCTGGATTGAGAATATTGCCTACTGCACAGTAACAGTTCTTTTATTTATCCATATTCTGACATTACTGCAAACTCGTTGGAAGTGGAGACTAGTGAATCAGAATATATCATATTTCTTTTCGTAAGGTTTGTCAGGCTTTCTTGGAATATTCCAACAGATATCAAAGCATTGGTTATTGAGAAGAATAAAAATCATAAAAACAGCCACAAAACAGGTTCAGTGATTCAAGGAAGCAGTTAATATACAGACCATACAATGAAGATTGCAAAACAGTTAAACATTTAAGTCAAATAGAAATCCATATTTCATAACATCTTATAAACAACATATTTACTTGGTAGTTCATATTATGTAGCTTTTTTTACGTATAAAACTGATTAGATTGTTAGAAGCAGGCAAAAGTCACCAATACAGAGTTCGGAGTCTTAGTTTTTTACCAGGATTTCTTCTAGATCTACGATGATGATGAACTCGTTCGAAATCATGGCCACCTCGTTCGTACATCATTTCTCCTCGGTCACCTGACATTCCTCTATCTCGTGATCTTTCCCGGAAGTCACCACGGTGATAATCACGTCTACTGCGATAACTCTCACTGTCAGATACATTGGCACCACTAGAGGACATTTTCATCTTCATTGTCAGTTTCTGGGCCCGTTTTTCCAGATCCTGAGTCGCTTTTGGGACAAAGAACAGTGGTCTCATTATTGGTAAGAACATTAGACATCTAATGAATGACTTATCAATCAATATGAAAGGAAGTTTGCTTTCATAACAAATAAAAGAAGTCTCAGATTACAGTTTTTGAACTTGTTAATAGGCACTAATTTTTCGTATATATATATATATATCAGTCTCAAACTTCGAAGAGAGATTTGGTTCGTAATTTGTCTACATATCTTAGAGCTATAAGTTTGCATCCTAAACATTCCTGGACATTTCGCCCCAAAAAACTGAAGGTAAAAGTGACGAGTGACCAATCACAGATCAATACACTTCTTTTAAGATTATAAAGGAATAACATCCAACTTCTAAGTCAGTACAACATATCATTATGCAGCCTCAAGATTCAGTTGATATACATCAAAAGATCACATTAGTCTCCTCATCTTATTCACAAGGTATCACACCATAAAATGTTCTAAGGGGGTGAAGAACTTTGGTAGTATGTACACATATGTTGGCATAAGGATTAAGTAGTATGTAGATACATCTGGGTCTCAAGCTGTGATGACAGACTTAGGTAGTATGATACTGATATAGTGTATAACCGGGTGTCCAGATAATGTGGACAGTTAAGTTACAACACAAAGTCTTCAAGTTTTTGTAGTTACCTTTATCACGACTGGCCATTTGAGCTTCGAGTGGAATTGCTGGCAGTTTTCTTCGCTTTGGTGATGATTTACTGTTAAATGAATAATATGACTTGAATTAACTACTTTTAATATAATGGACATTAGGACATTATTGTTTCAATGAGTTCATTGTATAGTAAAGCAGAAAACAAATCAAGAATCAGTGCATAACAAGTTTGGAAGTCCTAAAGCAGGGCTCTCACACCCCATTTTGGGACTGGGGCCTAAATTGGGAAAATATTCGGCCCCAAATCCGGCAGATCGAGAGCCCTGTAAAGGTCAGGCAAACCTTCTTAGGACCGGCCGACAAGGCCCCCGTAGTAGCACAAAGTTATGGTAATTATTACTGAAATGCTACAAATAAAGACACACAATGTGTATATATAAAATTTTATGCTTATGATTAAAACATTACATTATCCATGCATTCATTACCCTATGATGTGACACCATGTGAGCAGAAAATAAAGCTGACATCATCTAGGAATAATACACATGATACATGCATTAATAGAAAAGAAGATTAAAGGACAATAGTTTAGGATCATTAAAACGATTGGGACTTCCTTAATACTAACCTACAAATTTGCTCAAGCAAACCAAAATATCATACCTTAATTCTGGAGGTGAGAGAGACCGAGACACTGATTCAGGCACACGGTGGTAGGAGGAAGGCGACCTTGACCTTGTTCTGCTTGAGTGACCTTTTTCTGGAGGATGTGGTGACCTTGAACTTTGATGAGTTGAGGACACTTGATCTCTTGGAACTGATAACATCTCATTGTTCTTGTTGGCTAACCGGCGGCGCTCGTTTCGGTCATCTCTTACACAGTCTAGAAAAAGACAGTCAGCATTGCGGTGATCTGCATCATTATACATTTCAGTATGTGTGGAGTGAACCTACTCAATGTAAACGATCTAACACTCTTGCTCAAACAGGGATTGTATATGTCTATCACAGTAACAATCTACTTGGGACAGTTTACAAAAATATCGTTTACGTAGTGTATAATCTTTAATTTTCCTTGACGACTTATTTTCATTGATTTTGTGGGTACTCTTCATCAGAGAATTCATAATATCCTCAAACTGGTAAAATTGCTCGATTTTTTGTGCTCTATTTATCCATGACATCAAGTGTCAATTTAAGATAAAAAATTATTTGAGTATTTTTTTGTTGAAAAACCACAAAAGGTAAGCCCCACAGTTATTATGACATTAGGTTCTGTGGAGTTGTTCAAGAAAATGTTGATAAATGATTAATGTTACAGAATGCCCATAGCATCAAGTGAGCCATATTCACATAGTATATGTTCAATAGGAAATGGATTACTAAGTCATCTGATAATTTCAGTTATCTACCTTTGTTATTTTTTTTCATTTTGTAATACACAGTCACAAATAACATACAATAACAATTAGATTAGGCCACCCAAAATATCTACACATTCAAACAGTTAATTTATATTGTCTCTGGGCCATTTTTGTATGCCCATTCAGAACCTATGTGTTAATTTTTTACTGTGTAGCATTTTGAAATCTTCCCGAAACATGGCTATAACAAATTGCTAACACAAAGTTATCAACACATAAATATTCCCTCCAATAAACTGGTATCCAATTTTGCACAAGTTTCTTTTTTCATATTGACAATATAATGTACACATTTCTTGAAATTGACAATGTCCCTAATGATTCCAACTGTATAATATTTTTTTTAAAAAGATTTGCTTTAGATCAAGGGTAATGGTGAAAAATAAATTACAGACACCTTCTATGAATAACATGGTTTAATCTAGGTAATTTATTAAAATGACAATGGTGATTACAGGTAAATTCTAAAATTAACAAGATGAAAAATAATAAGTTTGACACAATATGAAATTTTTCATATTTTCATTTTTAAGGGCTTTGACTATATATAAGATAACTAAAGACTAGAAGTCTTACTGGTAACAAATAGCCATCTTTTGATATTAGAATTCTACGTTACAATTAACATCAGACACAGTTATTTATGAAACAGGGATCAGCAGCATGACAATATCACAGGGCCCATATATCAGCAGCGAGGAAAAAGGAACACATGACAAACAATACCGAAAAAGCTAGTCGTGAGAAGCTGAATAGTCAAACATAAGTCCAATCTTGTAAGCCATGCCTTCCAGACATCTCTCCTAATGAATCTTACAACAAAAATGTGAGCATATAGCCAAACTGAATCAGTGTCATAAAATTGATTTCTGATAAAAACTAACATGACAAGATGTATTGAACATCTGTTGAACTCTGACCTGTTGAAATTTCAACATTCAGCTATTCTTATGATATAAACATCCTGAATCAAGTCCTGTATTGTGACCTCTGATTATGACCCTGACCTATCATTCAGACTTAAATGACGATTCTCGACAAGTCATCTGAAATCCTTCATCTTAATGTGGTGTTTATGTATGACTGTATGTCATGCTTGACTTAGTGCCTAGTAATTCTCAGGTTTTTTAATGGTATATTACTTTCAATCACAGAAACTTTTATGAAATCATACATTATGATAATATCAGTAGCAAACAGCCAACCAACAATTTAACAAGAGCAAACTGTGGCAGGGTAACAGCACCACCAATACCTGACATGTGGCAGCACATTGTTACAAAGTTAAAGGACGATTGATAACTGACAAAGAGCACAATGTGGCAGGATTTAGGATCACTGATATCTGACATAGAACACATTGTGGCAGGGTTAAAGGACCATTGATATCAACACAGAACACAATGTGGCAAGGTTAAAGAACCATTGATAACTGACAAAGAGCACATTGTGGCAGGGTTTAAGGACCATTGATAACAGACAAAGAGCACAATGTGGCAGGGTTAAAGGACCAATGACATCTGACAAAGAGCACAATGTGGCAGGGTTTAAGGACCATTGATATCTGACATAGAACACATTGTGGCAGGGTTAAAGGACCATTGATATCTGACATAGAACACATTGTGGCAGGGTTTAAGGACCATTGATATCTGACATAGAACACAATGTGGCATGGTTAAAGGCCATTGATAACTGACAAAGAGCACAATGTGGCAGGATTTAGGATCACTGATATCTGACATAGATCACATTGTGGCAGGGTTAAAGGACCAATGACATCTGACACAAAATACACTGTGGTAAGGTTTAAGAACCATTGATATCTGACATAGAACACAATGTGGCAGTTTTAAAGGACTAATGACATCTGACAGAGAACACATGGTTGCAGGGATAAAGGGCCACTGATATCTGGCATAGAACAGAATGTGGCAGGTTTAAAGGACCAATGACATCTGACAGAGAAAACATCGCAGCAGGGTTAAAGAACCATTGATATCAACACAGAATACATCACAGCAGGGTTTAAGGACCACTGATATCTGACATAGAGAACATCATGGCAGGGTTAAAGAACCAATGACATCTGACAGAGAACACATGGCTGCAGGGATAAAGGACCACTGATATCTGACATAGATCACATTGTGGCAGGGTTAAAGGACCATTGATATCTGAATTAGAACACAATGTGGCAGGGTTAAAGGACCACTGGTATCTGACATAGATCACATTGTGGCAGGGTTAAAGGACCATTGATATCTGACATAGAACACAATGTGGCAGGGTTAAAGGACCATTGATATCTGACATAGAGCACAATGTGGCAAGGTTAAAGGACCATTGATATCTAACAGAGAACACATTGTTGCAATTTTAAAGGACCACTGATATCTGACATAGAACACAATGTGGCAGGGTTAAAGAACCGTTGATATCAACACAGAACACATCACAGCAGGGTTTAAGGACCAATGACATCTGACAGAGAACACATGGCTGTAGGGTTAATGGACCACTGATGTCGGAATAATAAATATTGAGCACATTGTGGTAGGATTAAAGCACATGGCAGCACATTAGCTCTTGACATATCAATTTGAAGTACCTGACTCAGAATCTATAAAGTCTGGGTCTCCCTGTGGGGAGCCTTGTCCTCTAACACTTCGATCTGTCACAGATGTGATGTGGCCATTCATGTCTACATCTCGTTTTGGTGAGGTCTGTTCATTGGTGTCTTGGTCCCTTATTGGGGACACCGGCCCTATACTGCCCAGGTCAGCTTGTGGGGAACCCTTGCATCTAACATGTTCCTGTGTGGATTTCCACCCTCTATTATCTGATTTTTTCTCTGTTGATCTTCTGCCTCTAGGATTTCCCTGTACAGAGCCCCTTACTGTTTTTGTACTGTCCTGATTATCAATGTTCCATTCATTCCTAGTGACTGGATCACTGTGCGGGGAACTTTGATGACTGAAATCTACCTGTGGTGAGTTTCTGCCTTTCACTGACAATGCCCTTCTGTCACTGGCATCAGACAGTTCCTCACTGCCAGGAGGGGGACTAAAAGAGCTCCCAAAGGAGCTAACACTCATCCTATCTCCTCGAATGTATGCTGATGACAATCCTAACAAGGAGGAAGTACATTCTTAAGTAAACAACAGTGATAATCTGGCATCTGATATTCCAGAAACAACAAGAGGTCCCAGGGGCCTGCATCACTCATTTGGATAATTCAGCTATTTAGTCATTTAACAAAAAATTTCAAATTTGACAAACAATTTCTGAAATAATGAGTCCCAGCCATATGGTCAGACTGAAGTCACAGTCACCATTCAAAAAAATTGCTTTAGATCAACTTTTATTATACTTGTACAGAACAGGGCTCACACATCTCTGATGGCAGACATATGGTTGATACAAAATAGGGTTTTTTGTCTTCAACAAAGTGGTGGGGTGGTTCGGTGATAATGCATTTGCCTTTTCACCTAGCCCTCCAGGGTTTCTGTTCCCAGAACAGCCATGAAAAGGTAAAAGGTCACCTACCCAACCATGTGGGTTTTCCCCCCGGTACTCCATTTTCCTCCCACAATAAGATCCCTCAGGGCTTACATCCGGGCCAACAAGAGCAATTAGTATCAATTGAAATAACTTGTTTCACAATTGTTGAAAAATAAATTAATTTATATTATAATAAAGTATGTTTCAACGGACAGAATCAAGGAATTCCCACAGAAAAAGGATTTTAAAGAATTTCCAATATTCAGTCCTGCAGCTCCTACCCCAGAGTGCTGAGACCCACTCTTTATATAAAATTAATTATTCCCCTTCATCTAAGTACACTTCAGACCAAGTTTGAACAGAATCCTGATATTTCTACAGAAGAACAATTCTAAAGAATTTCCTCCATTGCCCCTATCGGTCCCAACCCCTCCTGCCCCAGGAGAACTAATACACACCATAAATACAAAAGTGATTTCACTACACCAAAGAATGCTTCAGACCAAATCTGTACAAAATCCAATCATTCCTACTGAAGGCATAGAATTTTGAAATTCCCCCTTTTGGGCCCTCCCTCTAAGGCCCCTGGAGGCCAGGATGTATACAAAATTTGTCTTTCCTCAAGCATGCTTCTGACCAAATTTGATCAAAATTTGTCTAGTCGTTTACGACTTTTGTGATTCTTATGAAAAATGTTGACAGACAAAACAATGGACATACCATGAATGATGGATGCTGCAGTATGGCATAAGCTCACTAGTCCTACAGACCAAGTGAGCTATACATGAATATTTATGCATTAAACTTTTTCCATGAACTTTTACATTGACAAAGAAACTTTTCTTGACAAGTGCTTCATTAATCAAATGAACACTAGTCAGGAACCTTTTTTAACCAAGATTAAGATTTATAATTCAAAGTTTGTAGTGGTACATGGATATCAACACCTATCCTTCACTCTTTATCTTCCTGTGTAAAACCTTAACAGCTACTTTCATGATCTCCTTATAAGGGGAGACAATTACCCATGACTTAGATGACATAGATAACGGTTTCTTTATTGCCCAGACTTAAATTGGCACAAAAATACACAAAAAAACATTTCAGCTTCTACATCTAACTTTATGCCGCCTTTTATTTTTTGCTCAAATGGCAGAAAGTTACTCTATGGCATATCTAATACAGCATATATAAAGTCATTATTCTGCAGCCTTGACCTTTTGAATTCTGCAAAGAAATTGAATAATGAAGAGACATGTAATTGTACAATTTCTTGTGCTAAACTTTCCCTGATCATCGCTGTCAATAGCCCAAATGGGCATTAGCATGAAAGCTATACATTGTTTAAAGGGCTTATTTTCTGCAAAATACAATAGAATTAGCTATCAAATAAAATTTTGAAGACCATAAAATTATTAAAATAGGCCCAGAGATCCTGTATCACTTACACTGGTGTAAAGAAACAGAATGCTAAAATAATCCTTAATTTGTTTACAATCCTTGTGCAAGGTGTCATGTATGTTAACAAGAAGCTGGGTCTTTTTCGCTCATCTAGTTTAGTGAGTGAGGCTGCTTCATCTGAACTAAATAAAAAGCATTTGAAAGATTCTTCTTTTGGGCCCAGCTTCTCCTGCCTCAGGGGCTGAGACCCCCTTGTTTTTTACAATATTAGTACATTTCCCTCAAGTATGCCAGGATAAAATCCAACCATTCCTACAGAAATAGTTGGATTTTAAAGAATTTGCTCTCTTACCACTATTGGGCCCTGTCTCTCCTAATACTAGTGGCCAAAACCCACCATTAATACAAAATTGATTCCCCTTTAACCAAGGTCCTTTAGAACAAATTTGGGCAAAATTTATTGATTCCAAAAGCAAACAAAAAGCCCAAAGCAAACAAAAGGCCCAAAGGGCCTGCATCGCTTACCTGGTTTAGTTTGCTGAAATTGATTTATTTAAATTTAAGGAAAAGGATTTAAAACACTTTTATATTTCCCCTTTTAGGGCCCACTGCTTCTAGCCAAAGAGGTGAGATTCACTATTTGTAGAAAACTAAGTTGACTTCACCAAAGGATGCATCAGATTAAAACTGGACAAAATTGAATCATTCCAACATAACAAATAACTTCTCATTTTCACTATTGGGCCCCATCCTTCCTACCCAAGAGGGCTGAAACCTACCATTCATACAAAATTGATCCCAAGCATGTCTCAGACCAAATCAAGACACAATCCAGACATTCCTACATAAGAGGCATTATTCTAAAGAATTTGCCCTATTTCTCCTGTAAGACCTCTTCCCTGCCACCCAAGGGGGTGGAGATCTGCCATTTATTCCCCTTTACCAAAGAGTGCTTCAAAGCAAATTGGAATATAATATGTAAGTATTCCTACAGAAGAAGCAGAAATTTGAAGTATTTGCTATACTTGCTCTCCTACACTAGAAGGTAGCGACTCACTATTAATACAATATTGATTCTGCATTCATCCAAGAATGCTTCAGACAAAATTTTACCAAAATCCAAATCCTTCTTGCAAGAGGAGTAGGATTTTAAAGAATTTGCTCTATTTCCCCTATTTGGCTCACACCTTCTGTCCCAAAGGGGCCAAGACCATTTATAGATTTACAATTTGTAAAATTTGTTTCCCTTCACCCAATAATAATTAAATCCCCTCATCACAGAATCTGAGGAGATTCTTAAATGTCAAACATGTGTATTTGATATTTGTTTTCTTAAAAATAAGTCAAAGCCATTTTAAGAGGAAATTTTACAACACTCCATCTCACTTCCTTTCAAACTATCAGTACCTTGGGTCTTCCAAAACTTTAAGAAGACATTTGTTTTAAAGATTTTCACTATATTTTACTGGAAAAGAAGATTCTTTATTGTTTTAACCTATTTTACACATGCAACCTTGAAAAGAGGTCAAGGACACTTATATGAGAAAATTTTGAAACCCCAAATCCCAGGTACCTGTCAGCCTAATATCAGAAATCTGGATCTTCTGGAACTTGGAAAGGAAATAATGAAATATCTTAACCTAGTTGACCCCTGTGACCTTGAAAAAGGTAAAAGAAACTTTAAACTTTGAAGTTGTCAGTCCAAGGTAACTACTACCTTTATATTAGTAGACTAGATCTTGAGCAACTAATGAGGAGAATTGAAATTTTATGCTAGTTTACTTCTGAGACCTTGAAACAGGTACGATTACTTAAGGATATGAGGTAATAAAATTCCAGTACATATCAACTTTTGTTTTGTTGATGAATTTTTGAAAGGTTAGAGTTTAGAAAGTAATTTAAAAGCAAAAAGTCAATATGTTGCTTCACTAATATTTTCAATACAGATTACAGAATAATAACATCAGGGAATAGTTCATTTTCACATATCATTCTTAATATTTTGCTTAATATCAGTCATTCTTTGTTAAAATCACAAAACTAATAATAAGAATATTAAGAATAATGATTTTGCCTAACATTAAAAAATAATGAATTATGTCTTAGTTTTGGTCAAACATCACAGCAGTACATCATTTTATGAGGAAACAATTAAGCATTCCCTCCCTGAAATACACTGGCCTAATATCAATGCTCTGGGTCTTATTTTTTTACCTGTTTGACCCCTGTGACCTTGAAAATAGTTCAAGTTCATTCATATGAGGAAAATGACCTGTACACCAACCCAGGCACTACAAAATCATTGGCATGTTTTGTAATGTAAGCTTAATACGTAAATATCCATAAACACTGATACAACCTTTTAAAAAAAAAGTTATGTGGAAGACAGTGCATGATAAGTCAGTCATTTTTTGAAAGAGTTTTTTTTTTGGCAACAGGAAAGAAGAAAAGTGATCTTTTATGTCTGATCAACACCTAGAGGTCATTTACAGACAGTCCAAGCTGTGAAATGGTGGAAGAAACTGGAGTAAACCACTAGGTGTCAATGGAGATAACATTCTGCGATGATATGTGAAACATGTTATTGTTTTATCAGTTTAACAAAGGCCATTACTTAACCACAGACCCATGGGCCATATGACAAATATCAGCTTCTGGGCCTCTTGGTTATTGAGTTGTTCAAAATTTTGACATATCCAACTTCTTTGACCTTGAAAGTGACTCAAGGTAAATAATGTGTACACACTTGGTAGCCATTCCAATATCAGAACCCTTGGCTCTTTGGTTAATGAGAAGGAGTTGTTTAAAGATTTGAAGACATTTTCCCATGTGACCTTGAAAGTGGGTCAAGGTCATTCATTTGATAGCCCTTTATTCCAGCATAATACAGCCCCAAAATCAGCAGCCTGGATATTTCAGTTATTGAAAAGATGTCACTTAAAGATTTTTCCATATTAAAACTATGTGACGTTTGAAAGTAAATGAAAGTCAGTAATATGAACAAACTTGGTAGCCCTTCATCCCAGCAGACTGCAGATCATTATCAGTTTGGTCTGTAGATTTTTCTTAATTATTCAACACTGAAAGTTATGAAATGTATTGAAGTTTGGAGTTAGTGTACCTTCCCTTCTGCTTTTTAACATTTGTTTTGATCAATTTTAAATATCCTCTGATGTCTCCTACATTTCAACAGTTTAGTTTTTCACTACCATCAATGATAAGTCCTCGAAGGACAAAACAGCTTTATGATGTATTTAATTTATCATTTGACTCTCGTGTTTCTAATTCTAGATATGTAGTGAAAGGTGCTATTCACTGGTGTGGCTTTAGTACAATACAACAATAGAGAGTTATCTCCTCCTTTCTGTTCAGGTTTTACTTTATATAGTTGGCATCTGATAATGTTTCTACCTTGATGACTCCTACCTGGGATAACTCCTACGCTGTCATCAAAGTCGAGTTCCGACATGTCACTGTCACTTAGGCCACGTAAGCTAACTGGGGGAGACAGAGCTTTCCTCAGGTCGTGAGGATCCTGGCTATACTTCTGCAACATGAAAATGTTTTTAACACTGAACAAGAGACAAGACAGTATCCACCATTGCATGATAAAAAGATAAAGTCCAAACTAACAAAATTTTCTTTTCTCTTACGTGTTAATTATTTGTTGTATTGAAATAAAGCCTTGCTGCACTAATAGCAAATTTTATTTTACTGATTAAGTATACTTATAGAATATACAAATTTCATATGATGTTTATTCACTTGTTAACAGACCTGAACAAATTATGTTTCAGATCCCGTATCTGTACTTACAGTTCGAGGAGAAGATTGTGGTAACGGAATGCTAGTTTCGTCGTGATGGCCCAGTTGATACCAGAGAGGATCATCATTTAAATTAGAAGAATGTATATCAATCAGAACCTATAAAGAAAAAATATTGAATAGAAGAAATTCACATGGCAGGGTTACATATAAATATCAGTTCTATGTTATAAACAACTGAAGGATTTTTGATACTTTTGCAACTATATATTACATGTATGAATATACTGGTATAGTCATTATCCAAGGGGCTCAAGTGCCAACATTAAAGCACTGAATTTCAACTTTGACAAATAACTTCTGATCCTTCCATCTATAAAATATTTGATTCTATCATTTCTGTGTCTTGAGAAGAAAATTTTTGAAATCTTATTCCATTTGATCTTAATCTTTTCTAGCTCCACTAATCAGTCCCAGTGGGTCAGTCAGGTTCAAATAACTGTATATTTACATTACTGTCATGCAATGATATTAACAAATAATGCTTGAAAGTTTGCCTTGCCTATACCTGTATAAACTAGTTAAGTGATTCCCCTCTCCAGAGGGTCCATGAGTACAATTTTTATAATGTACCCTAAGCCATTAGAGCATTTGATCTGATCAAAGGATTTTATTGAGAAGAAATCAAAAATGTAAATAATGACACAAATGCATGATGAGGGACAAAAGGAAATAATGTAACCTGAAAATATATATGTTATGGAATTTGTAAACAAAATAAGCTTGATTTTGAATTCTTTTATAAATAAACAGTAAAAAGTTTAGAGTTACCTCTCCTAGGAATTCACTAGCTCCTATTCTGTCGTAGTCCCAAACAGTAATCTCAAGGACACGTGATCGGAAGTCGGACTCTTGAACAGGATAAAACATGAAAGTCTGATTCCATGTAGGGTCATTAGTGTTTGAAAGTGTCTTGGTACGTCGCTTGCTTTTGTCACTGAAAGATACAAATATGACAGGGAATAAAGAAACATGTTGGGTAACTATTGCAATATTGAATTTCCATGTACCTTTTTTTAACATTTCATCCATATACTATAATTAAGGTTAGTCAATTTATATTACATGATTCAACCATTTGGAAGTCCTGACGATGACTGTCTGGCAGTCAAAACATGCTTTTCCAGACCAAATAAACAAGAGACCCAATGGGCCTGGCAATCCTTCACTTGGTTTTCAATGATCATCAAAAATAAAATCCATGTTAATATCACAAATCTTTGAACATTTATACTATTAGCATTAAAGCAAGCACATTCAGTAAATTTCTAACCAATTTCCACAACATGCATTTTCTCTTACTCAGCTCTAAACAGCAACAGTTATGGCCTGGATTAAAGGTAAAAGTAGACCCCTGATCAATGACAGATGACAAAGGACAAATGACAGATAATGGGACAGACAATGGTGGCTGATTTCTGCCATTTTGTTTTGTTGCCCTGACAGAACAATAATTATTGTCTTTTCGCCCATGCTAAATTTCGTCTTTTCGCAGCAACATAATGAAAAGACGACAAAACTAAATGAGAAATAACGAAAACTTGAAGTTGCCCGCCCCGCTTATTATCATTTTTTCTGCAGCAACAAAACGATAATTATCATCTTTTTGCCCCACTAATTATTGTCTTTTCGCCGCGATACAACGATAATTATTGTCTTTTCGCAGCAAAAAGACGATAATTTGCAGGCTGAAAAGATGACAATTAGCAAGGAGAAAAGACAATAATTATCGCATTGTAGTAGCGAAAACACAATAATAAGCAGGGTGAAAAGACGATAATAGATTTTTGTTGGGCCGAAAAGGCGTTAATCATCGTTTTGTCACGAATAAAAGACATAATTAGCAAGGCGAAAAGACGATAATAATCGTTTTGTCATGACGAAAAGACGATAATTAGAGGGGTGAAAAGGCGTTAATCATCGTTTTGTCGCAGCGTAAAGACGATAATTAGCGGGGCAAAAAGACGATAATTATCGTTCTGTCAGGGCAACAACACAAAACAACGAAATGGCAGAAATCAGCCACCACAAGGATCCTTTATAGTAGAATATAATGTTCATCCCATTATGAGGATCTCTACTGAACACCACACAGTATTCATCCAGGAACAGTCGCTATTTGATAAGTCAGAAGTGTTGGCTCTCTTTTAATAATTTAATTCTGCTACATATAAAATAATCAGATAACACAGCTTCATATTTTTAGATAATTGTGCAATAATCATCATTATTTTTCCAGAGCTACTCTACACTAACTTAACAAAGAAGTTTTTAATTTGAATGCAAACTCTTTTCATATTTTTTTCCCACAAATTTGTTAAAAATATGAGCATGTCTGAAATGACTTAAGTGTAATCATATACCAGGAGTGATAAACAGTAAAAGTAAAAAATTCATTCCTTTAAACCATGTGCAACTCAGCTGATCAGCGCCTTCAGCCTGAGAAACATTACAAAGAGTTTTTGCATAACAAGAAGCCTAGCGCCCTTGATGGCCACCTGAGATAAGCAATATTGAGAATAAAGGTTAAAGGGTAGTTATCAAGTGTTATGAAACAGAAATTGTGACACTGAATATGGTAAGCCAGTGTCAATACATGCATACCATCGAAACTGTCATCCTATACTGTTAATTCTTATAAAGTTATTTCCAGTGGAAAATAATCAACGTTATGTTCAGAAATAATATTATTTATGAAAATTACAGTAAAGTTTTAAAAAAAATATTCCTACCCAGGAAGAAATGTGAGACTCATTTTGGTAATTAAAGCACCTTAAAATGCTTCCTTTCATGAAGAGCATTTGATTCTACCATATCTGGGTCTTAAGAAGAGGACTTTCAAAAACTGAATCAATTTGACCCCCTTTGGCCCCACCCCTCAGGTCCCTGGAGTGTGGGGACTGTATAACTCACAACTTTAATTCATCTTAGACCAGGGAAGGTTTCTGCAAAATTTGATTGAAATTGGGTCAGAGGTTTTGGAGACCAAATCAAAAGAGTAAAATTGTTTAAGGACGCACGATGCTGGATGAAGGGTATAAGAATAGTTTAAAAGTAGACTTCTCATAACATCTTATTCTTTGACTGTGCTATGCCATTTCAATCAATTTATACAATATTGTTTTAATATACCATTTGATATTATAGACATGCACCCGTTTAGACAGAGATATATGTAATTCTTGATTATTATCATAAATCAAATCGCCTTAAGTTTTAAACAGGATGAATATTATGTATATATATATATATATATATATGTATCTAAAGAAGTAATTTTAATATGAATACATCTAACAAGAGTTTCAATGCTGTTCAATATGTAACTTAACTACAAAAACACAAATAAGACAATGTTACTGAAAGACAATTTTATAATTTGGTAGCCAAAAACATATACATCCATTAACATATTAAAACTTTATTTTCTTTCACTCATTTTTACTTTAAATGCTATTATAGTAATTAGATATTTTCAAAATTAATTTCAAACTAATTATAATATAAAATACTGAATGATCTCTCCGTTTCTTGCCATTCCAAATATATTGATATTCAGTGTGTTTGAAATAGTTTGTCTTAATATTCTATTACTTACAATTCTATGTACAGTAAGTCAATGTCAAAGCAAAATATCAGAAAATATCTGAAAAAAATCTTAACTGATAGAGTATGTAACATTTTCAACCTGATTAAAAAGTTCAATATCTTTGGAAGAAGCAGAATCTAAACTTTAAATAAATGAAAAAACTGACAAGAAAAAAATGTTCATATTGTAGTGGAAAGAATGAAAAGGTGGAATTTTAATAATATCGTAATTAGTTTTTTTTTTAAACGCTTCCAGTAACATTGTAATAAAATCCAAACTATGACATTATTCTGTCATTCAGGCTTCACACAAAAATCACAACTACATTAGAAAGAAAAAGAAAGAGCACTGAGTATCTTTCTTATTCCAGAAAATAATCTACAATTTATTGGTGTAAATGGCAAAAAGCATCAGTTAGTATCAAACAACAAAATTAACAGAGAGCAAAACAGATAGGCAACAGTAATTACACTCAGTAACATTTATATTTGCGAATCTCCCCTTTTTTTTGCCTATTTTGACGTTTATTTCTATTCTTTGTGCCATATTTTCAGCTTTTTTGTTCCTCCACGTGTCGGAGTGCGTGACTATGTGTTCCACCATTGAAGTTTTTACGGGAGGTATTTTTAGTTGCTGTTTTGTGAGCTTAGTTAGCAGCCTTTTTTGTTCCTCCACGTGTCTGAGTGCGTGACTATGTGTTCCACCATTGAAGTTTTTACGGGAGGTATTTTTAGTTGCTGTTTTGTGAGCTTAGTTAGCAGCCTTTTTTGTTCCTCCACGTGTCTGAGTGCGTGACTATGTGTTCCACCATTGAAGTTTTTACGGGAGGTATTTTTAGTTGCTGTTTTGTGAGCTTAGTTAGCAGCCTTTTTTGTTCCTCCACGTGTCGGAGTGCGTGACTATGTGTTCTACCATTGAAGTTTTTACGGGAGCTATTTTTAGTTGCTGTTTTGTCAGCTTAGTTAGCAGTTTCTGTTGCTTATTTTCATAAGTTTTGAGATTTTTTTTGTTATTCAAAACTGTATTTCCTTACTCACAATTTTTCATAATTGTCATAAGTATGTCTAGGGTACCGCTCATGAGTCAGGATTATCATGATGCCTGTACTCTGTGTCGTCCTTGTAGTGAGATTTCACTGTGTGAACTCTGTTCACACGTGGAGTCTCATCTCAAGGTCCCCCAGTCTGCTCTGCGAATCTCCTCCAGCCATAGGAGGGATTTGTTCTCTTCTTCCAGCAGGAGAGGCAAGCCTGCTAGGTCTTTGCCTCCGGTTCTGAACCCCTCCCCCTCTCCCTCACCCCAATGAGGTGGAAAAATGGATTGTGAGGGTGCAGGTGAAGATGAAGTCATTCATCTTTCTCCTTGTTGCTTGGATACTGATCCTGATCTATCCGAGTTGCTTGATGTGACTGGAGAGGAAGGTTTCCAGGAGGAGGGTGGTCATGAGGCTGCTGAAGCTGAGACTCAGCATGTTCTTTCCAGGATGTGGGCCTTAGGGCCAGTGTGTCTTGGATTCTCCTAGCAGAGGTTTGCCCACCACCTTCAGCATAGTCGATTCCCAAATCCATCATCCTTTCAGGTTCTTTGGTGGTTTCTCGGGTGACCGCTCAGTCTTACAAGTCTCTGCCAGAAGGCACTATTGTGTCTTCAGCACTGGCCACTGAAGCTTTTGGAAAAGGGTTCTTCTTCTACCTGTGCTCCCGGTTTGTATCGCTGCTGTTCAGCTAGACTGGATTCGAAAGAGCTGACAGCCTGACGCGGCAAGTCTTTGGACCAGGTGGTATTCAAGTGAAGAGGTTTCAGACTGAAAAGGCCAGTACCTCGTAGGGGTCAGCACCTCCCAAGAAAATGGCATAATATCTGGCTGCTCAATCATCTACGCAGCCTAAGGCGAAGTTGCACTTCAAGGGCTACAAGGGGAATGAAGGAAGGGTAAGAACCCTCCGGTGGGCAAGAAGAAGGGCTCCAGACTCCTTCAGCTCCTTGGCGCTGGCAGACTTAGTGCTGGATTGGGTGAACAGCGGTCCTCCCACCTCTAGCTCTTGTCCCTCTCCGGTAGGATTAGGCTCCGGGTGTGCAGACAATTCTCATGTCTGGCAGGTTCTCGATCTGCCCCATATTTGGGTTTTATCTCAATAAAATTAGACGGGGCCGGATTGTCAATTCCGTCTCTTTTTGCCCATCAAACAGGGACATCGAGATATCTCCTCCCAGTCGGATTCTAGGTGGGTTTGCCAGATCATCAAGTATGCTTATGAGTACAAGCTCATGAGGTTAGGGCCTGTGCTGCTTCCTGGGTGCTCCTCAATGGGTCCTTCTTTCAGAAGGTCATGTCTGCAGCCTTCTGA